CCAAATCCTCATTAAGAGAGAAAAACCTGCTTGGAAAGCGGGGAAAAGTTGGCTCTGAGTCATCTGGGAAGCAAAGTGGGGTTTTTCGGCTCAGGCTTTGGGAGGATTTTTTAGTCTGGCTGAGGGGTGAGCCAGGACCCTGGGTCTGGCCAGGAGGGGCTGGCACGGGGTGGCACTGGGCATGGCAGCCCTGGGGCCGTGCTGCCAGCAGCTGTGGGCAGCAGGAGCCCTGTTTGGCATCCTCTGCATCCCTGGGGGGAAAGGGGGAGCAGGGAGCAGCTCGGCTCTCGCTGTGATTGATGGGCAGCGTCCCTGACCCCCGCAGCATCCCTGATTCCCCCATCATCCCTGACCCCCGCAGCATCCCTGACCCCCGCAGTATCCCCGGTTCCCGCAGCATCCCCGGCCCCCGCAGCATCCCTGACCCCCGCAGCATTCCTGACCCCCGCAGCATCCCTGACCCCCGCAGCATCCCTGATTCCCCCATCATCCCTGACCCCCGCAGCATCCCTGACCCCCGCAGTATCCCCGGTTCCCGCAGCATCCCCGGCCCCCGCAGCATCCCTGACCCCCGCAGCATCCCCGGCCCCCACATCATCCCTGAGCCCCGCAGCATCCCTGACCCCCGCAGCATCCCCGGCTCCCGCAGCATCCCTGAGCCCCGCAGCATCCCTGACCCCCGCAGCATCTCGTCTGCTGCTCAAGGTGTGCCAGATTTATTGATTGGGAAGTTTCTGCTCTCTGCCCCTCTATCAGTGTGCATCATTCACACCTCGAGATGCCGCCAGCCTCTCCCTGGAGCCCTCCCGCAGCCCAGCCTGTCCCGGGCTGTCAAAACCAGTCCTTGTTCATATTCAGGGAGCAGGGCCGCTTCTCCCAGGACAAAGATCTGCCGTGGCTGGGCACATCAGAGTTCATTAGCATGTTAATCCGACTGATTGCAGTCTCCCGGAAGGATCCCACATATGGTCATTTTTGTAGCACAGATTAAAGCTGTTGCCTCGCTCACGGGGCCCCAGCTCCTCTCTTGGTGCATGATGCTCTTTATTCTCCAGGTGCAACTCTGGGAGAAGGAAATATTAATTATTTTTGAGGCTGTTCTTAGTTTTGAGTCTGAATCGGGGTTTTGAGCGTCTGCCCTGTGTTTGCAGTCATGGTTTTCCCTTATTTTTGTTGTCTTATTTTGGCTCTGGTTTTAAATCGGGAAGCATGAGCTGAGCACCCCCCACACTGCCCCCCTGCATTCAGAGCCCGCAGGGACCCACATCTTTTCTGGGGATGATTTGGGGGAAGCTGAAATCCTGCCCTGGTTCTGGTGCAGGCTCAGGGTGCAGGGCCCCCCTCAGATGGGATTGAGCTGCCCCCGCTGGCCCCAGGATTCAGCCTGGCAGCTCATGCTGAATGCTTCCACTGGTTTTTGTGACACAAAACCGAGGCTCTGGGGACACCTGTGGGGTACAAGCGGGTCACAGGGCTCATTGCAGCCTTCTGGCACCCCGGGGTGCTCAGCATCCCTCCGGCCCCACGCCCAGGGCAAAGCACAGAGGGAGTTCTGCAAAGCCCTTGGAAGCTGTTGGGAAAACTGGAAATAAACCCTCCCCAGGTGCCGTGGGGGCCGGGGAAGTGCTCCTGGCACAAGTTCCTGATTATTAACGGGTTCTAAAATCTGCTCAGCTGCTGTCCCGCTGCAGACTTCCCTAAATGAGGACAGCAGTGGCTGAAATTCCATGGTGGAGAGCCGGGTGGAGCCTTCTGAGCATGCCAGAGGTTTGGAAGCCTGCGGAGGATTAAGAGCAGAGTCGATAATCTGCAGTTTAAGGCTCCGTGGGTCCCTTCATTAGGAACTTTCCTCCTCAAGAGCTTTTAAACTTCTGGCTCAAACTGCCCAGCTAAGTCTTGAAGACAGAAATGACTGTGTCAGCGAGGAGGAAGGATTAGAGATAACAGGGAATTAATACCAAAATGCATATGCTATAAATATAACAGGATTACACTGGAGTTATGTAAAAGCCCTTTGCCTTCCTCCCCATCTCCCCGGGTGGGCAGGTGGGCACCCCCTGAGGTCCTGTGGCTCCCAGAGCACCTTTCTCGTCATCACAGCAGCACAAGGGGCAATGGCTTCGAACTGGCAGTGCTCAGTGGGATTTTGGGAATTGGGAATTGTTCCCTGGCAGGGTTGGGGGCTCTGGCACAGCTGCCCAGCACAGCTGGGGCTGCCCCTGGGGTGTCCCAGGCCAGGCTGGACACTGGGGCTGGAGCAGCTGGGACAGCAGGAGGGGTCCCTGCCATGGCAGGGGGGGCTCTGAGGCCCTTCCCACCCCTCTCACCTCCCCTCAGCCCCGGGTGTCCCCCTGCCCCACTGGCCAGGGGGTGCAGGCACCCCCAGCCCTGTCCTGTCCCTCGGGGGAGCCCCCAGCCCCTCCTGGGACAGGGTCCCTGCAGGCAGGGGTCTCTGCTCCAGCCCTCCTCCTGGGCTGCAGAGCTGCTTACTCCCCGCCACACAATGAATATTCTCAGGCCTATTTTTGGCCGTTTCCTCCTCATTCCAGGGCTTAGCAAGGCTCTGGCTCACGGTGAGGGCTGAGAGCTGTCAGGCAGGAGGACTTGGCCCTGCCTGCAGAGCCAACATTAACTTTGTCCGAGGGATGATAAATCCTGGGATCGTACAGCACGGTGCTGAACTTGGAAAATGAAGCATTTAAACCACAATATTGCAGTCAAATTGCTGGTGAAAATCTCTTCATGTTGGCAGAGGAGCTGGAGGGTCTTTGATCTCTCCCAGCTCAGATGTTGCTGCCAAAGAGACTTAAGCTTAAACTTCACTTTGTAAAATAGACTTTTTTTTTGACAGTTTCCTTTAAAAAAATAATCTCCTCCTAAGCTCAGGAAGCAGGGACGAGTGGGCAGCCCACCAGGAGATTTCCAACCCGAATAATGCAGGAAGGAGCCACTTTCAGCTGCTTCCATTGCTTCTGTAAATCCTGGGCTTAATCCGTGGAGAAGCTGGGGGGGAATGAGGCACTGGAGCCCCACGAGTGGCAGCGCTGAGGTGGGGCTGGGGCTGGCTGGGCAGTGAAGATGTTTCCGTGGCTTTGGGTGTCGGAATCTGTGGGTATTGATGATTCTGAGGTTGTAAAAGTCTCTGTCTTTCTGCCCCATTGCCAAAGCAGAAGCCATAATTGGTCTGTGCTGGTTCCAAGGTTGTTTATTCTGTTTATCTCTGACATGTTCTGCTGCCCTGCCGCAGCTCTGTCCTGCAGGGCAGCGTGTGGGGCTCTGCCCTCAGTGGGATGTTACAAACATTAAATACCACAAACTACCTGTGCTGCATTTACAATAACGTGCCAATATCTGTCACCTACGTTGGACAGTGTGTCCCCAGCCTGAACCAACAGAAAAATGCCAACACCACAGTGACACATGGAGGGCATGAAGAAGGAGAAAAAGGACAAGGCACACCCAATTTCCTCCATCTTGTGCCCTCTGAACCCCTAATCTAGAAACCTAAAATTTTACTTTTGCACCCGTGTCACACTTAATTATTACTGATATCAAACACTCAGAGCTGGTAATTCATCCTGTAAGATTGAAAACTCTTTTCCATGGGGAGATCACAGCCAGTGTCTCTGGGGGCTCTGTCCAGGGGGGTTCTGACCCCTGCCAGGGTCCCAGGGCAGCCAGAGGGAAGCCCTGGATTCCCACAGCTCCCTGGCTCCTGGGAGGCACTTCAGACCCTGGCAGTCCTGGGCAGGTGGTGGCATTCGTGCCATTCCTCGGTGCCAGCCTGGCTCCCAGCTTGTGCCAGCAGCTGCCCGTGGTCTACATCAGCTGGGCACCCAGAAGGTTGACCTCAAAGTCCTGCAGACAGACAGGAGTCTCATTCTATAAGAACATGTAAAGATCCAAACATGGAATATTTAAGCCGGTGTTATGCAATGGGAGCTCTTTTAAGTCGTGATTTGTAAAGGCAGTTCAGATAATTTCCTGAAAGACATTCTGCTAATGATTAATTTAGAATATGTTTAATTCAAGTTAGAGAGATCAAAGAGGGAGCATTTTCCCTGTAATGCCATCCGTGGTTTCACACTTTCCCCAGATTCCAGGCACTGGGGGGTGTCTGCTTTGTCCTTCTGGGCAATTCCTCTGTGCAGATTGCAGGGAAAGGGTTCTGCAGGCTCCGGGCTGGTTTGGGGCAGGGGAGGGAGAGGAGCCTGGAGAAATCCCTGGATCACATCCCTGGAGCACATCCCTGGAGCGGAGCCTGGAGCACATCCCGGGAGCACATCCCTGGAGCACATCCCCGGAGCTTTGCTCTGAGCAGGGGCAGGATGCTGAGTCCCCTCCCGCAGCAGCGGCCCGGGTGGGTCTGGCAGTCCTTCTGGGGATCCAGCCGGGAGCGATTCAGGGCTCTGAGCTCCCTGGATCCCTGCAGGGAGGAGAATTTTGGGGCTGTGGTGGCCAAATCTCTGCTCAGGAACAGCCCGGGGGCAGAGCGGAGGAGCGGCCAGTGCCGCGGGCTGACCGAACAAACCTTTGCTTTGTTTAGCAGCGAGCTGGGCGGGGAGGCAGGTGAGGAGAGCCCGGGACGGAGCGATGCTGCAGGGGGACAATGCGAGATCCTGAAGGGGATAATGCGAGATGCTGCAGGGGGATAGTGCGAGATGCTGCAGGGGGACAATGCGAGATGCTGCAGGGGGATAAAATGCTTATCATCAGGGCCATGATCTCCCCTACAGAGCCGGCCCAGGTGTGGAATTTCCTCCCGGGGACGTTCCCACCTGGGCCCGGGGGTTTCCATCCTTTCTTATGGGACACAACAGACTCAGCTGCCCCCGGGCGGGATGGGAGATGGCTCCGGAGCCGAGAGGGTCCCACGGGAGCTGTGCGGGGTTTGCGCTGTCCTCGGTGCCGCTTCACAAGCTCCAGACCCCTCACACATATCACATCCCCCAAGCTCGGCCCCACCGCCCTGGCTGCCACCGAGTCTCTTTGTGCTGCAGAGAGATGCCAAGGGCCAGTACCTGTTCGACCTTCTGTGCCACCACCTGAACCTGCTGGAGAAGGATTACTTCGGCATCCGCTTTGTGGACCCCGACAAGCAAAGGGTGAGAGGAGCCCCCCTGCCCGGGTGGGTGGGCACAGGGCCCCAGGCAGTGGATGGGCACAGAGCCCCGGGTGGGTGGGCACAGAGCCCCCGCTGGGTGGGCACAGAGCCCTGGGTGGGTGGGCTGGATCCCCACGCCAGGGCTGTGGGAGTGCCCCTGCTCCCTTCCAGGGCCACTCACCTGCACTCAGGGGCTTTTCTCACCCAGAGCAGGACCCTCCTCGTCCTCATCCTCCCCACCTTGTCCAGGCACGGCTGTCGGGCTCCAATTGCCTTTTTTCCTTTCAGCATTGGCTGGAGTTTACCAAGTCGGTTGTGAAGCAGATGCGGGGTGAGTGTTGCAGCAGGTCTGGGCAGACTCTGCTCCTCCCAGCTCGGATGTGCCCCCATTTTCTGCAGCCTGTCCCCCCGGGGGTCCCCCAGGAGCTGCTCTGGTGGGTGAGAGCAGGATTGTCCCACAGCCCCACGGCAGCCACAGGCAGCATGGGGCAGCAGCGCCCACGGGGAGCAGGACAGGAGTGATGGGGTGAGGAAGGGACATTGGGGAGTGGGGTGGGCGCTGGGTAGACAGAGCCACTGGCACTTCCCACAGCTTTGTCAGGGACATCTGCAGGGAGGAGGCTCTGCCCTCCTCCCCAGGGGCAGTCTGGGGAGCAAGGCAGGTCAGACCCCAGCAGGACCTGGCTCAGGGGTGCAGGGGACAGCCCTGCCCTCGGTGACACGGTGTCCCCGCTCCCTGCAGCCCAGCCCCCCTTCACCATGTGCTTCCGTGTCAAGTTCTACCCCACGGACCCTGCGGCGCTGAAGGAGGAGATCACCAGGTGAGGATGGGCAGGTGAGGGGCCTGGCAGCGCCGATCACCAGGTGAGGATGGATGGGCAGGTGAGGGGCCTGGCAGTGCCAGCAGCGGGGGCTTGGCCAGGCCAGGAGCGATGGACCAGCTCAGGGCCTCGTGCAGTGAGGAAACAGCAGCAGCCACGGGATTTCCCAGCCAGCCCGGATGCTTTGGGATTGTTCCCACTGGGGGAGAAGCACCTGGAGCCGCCGTGCCTGGTGGGGAGCACAGGCTGAGGGTGGCAGCCCTGGCACAGGGTGCCCGGAGCAGCTGTGGCTGCCCCTGTGTCCCTGGCAGTGCCCAAGGCCAGGCTGGATGGGGCTGGGAGCTCCTGGGACAGCAGGAGCCATGGCAGGGGTGGGATGGGATGGGATTTAAGGTCCTTTCCTGCATAAGCCACCCTGGGCTCTGTGATTAAAGCCCCTGGCTTGGTCTTTGCGTGCAGTCAGCTCCAGACCCACATCCCGGGTGCAGTCAGTTCCAGACCCACATCCCGGGTGCAGTCAGTTCCAGACCCACATGCCACAGCCAGTTCCAGACCCACAGCCAGGGCAGAGCACTCCCAGCACGGCCCCAGCTCCGTGCCCAGCCGCTGCCCCTCCGACTCCTCCACTCCAGCACCCAGCACTGTGCCCGGCCCAGCACGGCCCAGCCCGGGGTGTCCTCGCCGTGCTCAGCTGCAGGAAGGGGTTGAGTGCCTCGGTTCCCCTGAGGCTCCCTGACAGCCGTCAGACGTCAGCAGCGCTGGCGAGGCGCTGCCAGAGCTGCCTCTCCTGAGTTTCTATCTTTAGGGGCTCCTGCTGCTGCTCCTGCCAGCAGGAAGGACATGAGAGCCCCGTGAGAGCAGTGCAGAGCTCTGGAAAGGAGCTGTGGGTCCCCAGGAGGAGGAAGGACACCAGAGCCCCACGAGAACAGTGCAGAGCTCTGGAAAGGAGCTGGGGGTCCCCAGCAGCCCTGGCCCCCCAGCAGCAGGGCTGGAGCCTCCTCTGGAGCGTTCTGGGCCGGCACCTTCTGTGGGGACATCCGAGAGCCCTGCGGGGTCCCTCCCCGGGGCCTGGGGCAGGATCCTGCAGTGCCAGGCTGGGGAATGGCTCCCCGGTGCCAGGCTGAGCTGGCATGGGGGAGGAATCGGAAATCCTGCTCTGCCAGGCTGGTGAGGCACTGCCACTGGGGCAGCCTGGTCTGGGCTGTCCCTGCCCATGGCAGGGGGTGGAACACAGAGAAGAATTTCCTCCCAAAACCTGATCTAACTCTGCCTTTGTCAGCCCCACAGGTCCAGGCTGAGGCCCCCATGCAGGTGAGCTGCCCCTGCTCGCTGCCCTTTGAGGTGTGCCTGCAGCTGCAGCTGGAACCGGGGCTTAAAATTCACTTTTCCCTGGACTGAGCCCACTCTAATACCAAGATTTCTCTTTAATGTGTTTTATCTGTGAAAATTAATGGCATACCTCATCATAAACTCAGATTTGAGCAATGAGGCGTGACCGAGGACTGCAGAGTGCAAGTCTGGTTATTTAAATTCATTTCTGAGCACTCCATTTTCTCCCTCACTCCCTGACTTGTGTTTTACCAGTGAAAGGTTTTCCCAAACGCCACATGACACAGCCCCAAATGTTGCTTAGGTTTAAATTTATTGGAATGTGTAATTTTTCCGACACAGTTTGTCCTTTAAGTGGGCACAGAGACAGGGATGGGGCGCACAGGCCCTGGGTGATGCAGCGAGCACGGGGGAGGGACGTGGGTGCATACCCCGAGACCCAGAAGGACACGGGAAGTTTGGGAAGGAGAAAATCACATCCTGGGGAGGCTGAACACCCAGGGGAAATGCAGCAGGCACTGCTGGGCTCTACATCATGAGAGCCTGGCCAGGGCCAGCCCAGCGAGTGCCAGGCTGGGCTGCTGGGAGAGGGATGTTAGAGCAAGTGTCTGGTGCAGGTATTCCATGTCTAGAGGGGCTGTTTGGGTAAATTAAATCGTGCTGATAAAGAGACTCTCCTCCTGTGCCAGGTACTTGGTCTTCCTGCAGATCAAGAGGGATCTGTACCACGGGCGGCTGCTGTGCAAGACGTCGGACGCCGCCTTGCTGGCTGCCTACATCCTGCAGGGTGAGGCTCTGGGCAGCAGCAATTCCCTTTTCCTGCCCTTCCTGCCCTGACAGCGGGTCACTGCACCTGCCACAGCCAGGGCACCCACTGGGCTGGGCTGGGGGACGGGGGGTGGGCGCTGCAGGGCCACACCTGCACAGGGGCACGGTGTCCCCAGGAGCCCCCGGGCCCATCCAGCCCCTGCCCTCCTGCCTGCTCCTGCAGCTGAGGAGTGGATAAATGTGGGGGGGGGAGCTCTGGGTGCCTGCCCCACAAACAGCAGGAGGAGGGGATGCCGTCGCTGCCTGGCAGAGGAGGGGGATCCCTCCCGGGGCGAAGCCAGCGGGGTCGGAGCGGCGCTCCCGGGCTGGGGGTGCAGCTCACTCTGCTCTGCTCCTGCTGCTCTTCCCCACTGCATCTGTCTCCCGCCAGCTGAGATCGGGGACTACGACCCGGGGAAGCACCCAGAGGGCTACAGCTCCAAGTTCCAGTTCTTCCCCAAACACTCGGAGAAGCTGGAGAGGAAAATCGCGGAGATCCACAAGTCGGAGCTGAGGTAGGGGAGCTGCAGGGTTGGTGACACCTGAGCACTTCTGTCCCCGTTTGGGGCTGTCACTCACGTGTCACATCCAGCTGGGACCTGCTCCTGCCTCAGCCAGCACAGCCCAGGGGACCCTCCTGGGGACAGAGACCCTCCTGGGGACAGAGACCCTCACAAACCCCTGCTGCCCCCACCCCTCTCCAGGGACACGAGGTGTGGGACCATCAGCACTCCCCATTATCCCACAGCGCTGCCAGTGCCTCTGGAGCTGTGTCCTGAAGGGTTCCCAGGGAGGGAAGTGGGTTTAACTTCCCCCAAACCCAGCAAAGCTGTGTCCTTATTGCCAGGGGCTGCTGCCCTGTGCCCTGCTCCCCTTTCCTTCCCCTGGTTAGGGAATTCATCCCTAAGTGTGGCAGATGCCCTCTGACCCTTCCCAGTGCTGCCAGTCCAGCGTGGCTCCTGTGGGTGTAGCTGGCAGGAGAGGATGGGCCAGGCTTCAGTGCTGGGCTCCTGCTGATCCCATAAAAATCAACGGGGATGTGCTGGGGCTGATGCTTCCTCCTTAACAGGATCCCTGTAGCTGCCTTCCATGGAATATTCTTTTTTCCCTGTTTTTCCCTCCTGCAGTGGGCAGGCTCCAGCTACTTCAGAGCTGAATTTCCTCAGGAAAGCCCAGACTCTGGAGACCTACGGGGTTGACCCACACCCGTGCAAGGTAAAACAGTCCCTGCAGCTGTTGCTGAGGCTGGGGCTGGGGTTGGGCTCCTCTCCCTGGCCACTGGTGGTGGGCTGAGGGGTCGGGGACTGGCCCAGGGCATTTGTCACCCGCCAGCAGCTCCGGCTGTGCTCGGGGGGGCCGTGCTGGGGCCATCAGCCCTGCTCAGCTCCCCCATCCCTGGCCAGGGTGAGAGCACAGGGCTGTGGGGAGGGCGAGGGCTCCGAACCTCCCCGGGCAGCCGAGGAAAGCCTTTGCAGCCAGCTGGGAGCGGGTGGTCCATCCCCTCCCGCAGAAGCAGGACTGGGCAGGAAGGACAAGGTCAGGACGTGCCTGAGGAGCCAGCAGGCATCCACCTGGCTGGGACAGCCCATCCCTCTGCCCTGCCCGGCCCATGATCCCTTTTGCTGCTGGAAATGCTCTTTATGTCGCTGCGTGTGCCTCTCTGCTCCCTGGTCATCCCATCCCGTGCAGATGGATGTGGGGAGCAGACAGAAAATTCTGCTCTCAGGCAGTGCCTGTGCTGGGGCTTTTCCCTGGAGCTTTTCCCTGGATTGTGCCACATAAACACACAAGTTTTTAGCTTGGGGGGTTCCCCGTTTATGGGCAGTTTCTGAGTACCCAAGAGGCTGCTTTGCTCTGAATTCCTCTGAAGCAGTGGCCTTGCCAGCAGCCACCCACTTGTGACTTTTGCTACTAGAGTCAGGTAATTTTTTAAATTAAAAAAAAAAGTAAAAGTCATCCCTTTACTTCAAGAACCTTTTGAACGTATTTGAGTTATACTAATTAATGTTCCTATCAGGACAAACATACACACTTGTATGGCTATCAGCAGAACTCTGCCTAATTCATCAAGAGCTGCTGCTAATGTGCCCAAAGGATCTGGAACCAGAGTTAAATGAAGCTGATTCTTCTGTTCTCTCTTCCCCAGTGGACTGTGGAGATGTTGGGATGAGGGGCTGTTCCCTCTCAGCAGCATCCTCAGCTCAGCGTCCCTTGACTCAATCCTGTCTGAAGTTTTCATGGTGCTCTCACAGCACCCCAAAAAACAAACCCAGAGAAAGTTCTTCCTCTCTTAAGCAGGGCTCACCTGAGTCCTGGGCTGCCCTTGGTGCTCGTTTGGTGTGTAAATCCCTGGAGGAATGTGTGTTTGTGTGTGAGAGGGCAGCGGGGTCCCTCTGTTCCTTGCGATGGACAGAACTCCCTGCCTGGCCAAAGAGAACCATGGAATGGTTTTGGTTGGAAAAGCCCTCAAAGGCCATGGAATCCCAAAAGCCATCCCCCAGCGCTGCCAAAGCCACCACTAACCATGTCCCATGTCCCTGAGTGCCACTGCCACACATTTCACCGGCTGACACTAATCAGGGCTTTGGGCTGGCTCAGGAGTCATTGGGACTGGGCTAACGGGCTGACACTAATTAGGGCTTTGGACTGGCTCAGGAGTCATTGGGACTGGGCTAACGGGCTGACACTAATTAGGGCTTTGGACTGGCTCAGGAGTCATTGGGACTGGGCTAACGGGCTGACACTAATTAGGGCTTTGGGCTGGCTTGGTGCCACCCCGGTCACCGGCTGGGCAGGGCTCCAAGGGAGGCCAGTACAGCTGGGGGTTATCATGTTCTGGGCTAATTGCTATATATAATATATATATATATTTATTTAGGACTTGGACGTCAGTGATCCTTGTGGGTCCCTTCTGACTCACAAGGATTTTCTGTGATAATACAATAAATAACCATATTAAACTATATACTATAGTCATTATATATACCAAATAAACAGTGTATATTTCTATAATAACTAGATATACTTACACAGAGGAATAAAGTTACAATATATATATAAATACACATTACTTGCAACAATTATAACATGGCATTATATTAATGGCAGGAATTCTATAAATGTCAATATGACATTTAATGTAGATGATAACAGATCACTGTGACATCCTGCTGGCAGCACTGGCACATCAGGTGGGCAGTGCCCAGCTCTGGGGCTGAGGGGACAAGGGACGTGCCAGCGGTGCCGGTGCCAGCTGTGCCAGTGCCAGCTGTGCCAGCTGTGCCGGTGCCAGCTGTGCCAGCTGTGCCAGCTGTGCCAGCGGCTGCACGAGCCCTCACTGTCACCTTGCAGGACGTGTCCGGCAATGCAGCGTTCCTGGCCTTCACCCCCTTCGGCTTCGTGGTTCTGCAGGGGAACAAGAGAGTTCACTTCATCAAGTGGTGAGTTCACTTCATCAGGTGGAGAGCTCACCTCCAGGGTGAGCTCACTTCCAGTGGTGATTTCCCCTCACAGCTCCCTGGGCATCCCCTGGGGTGACCAAGGGGTGGCCGAGGAGTGGCCAAAGGGTGGCCAAAGGGTGGCCGAGGTGTGACCGAGGGCTGTCCGAGGCCGGCCGGCTGTGTGGGCACCGGGCAGTGCTCGCTGCATCCCGGGCTCTGCTGCCCCATTGTTCTCTGCGTTTGTCCCCACTAAACTCCATCATCCCCACGTCAGCCACATCCCAAAGCCCCCAGGGGCTCCCCAGCTGTCCCCGGGTCCTGCAGGATGTCCGGTGTTGGCCGGCATGTCCCTGGCAGCTGGCACTGCCAGTGTCCATGGGACGAGCCCCGCTGACCCTCCGCTTCACCCCGGGCTGTTCCCCACTGCAGCTGCGGGTTGTGTGCCAGGGCTGCTCTCAGCACCCTGTGGCACCCCCGGGATGGAAAACGGGCTCTGGAAGCTGCTGGAGCTGGGTGGGCACAGCTCCCACCTGCCTGTCCTTGTCCCTCCAGGAACGAGGTGACCAAGATGAAATTCGAAGGGAAGACTTTCTACCTGTACGTAAGTCAGAAGGAGGTGAGTGCTCTCCCTCCCCGTGGACATCCCGGGCACAGCGTGCTCCTCCCTGCAGCGGGACTGTGGCAGCAGCATCACCCTGGCCCTGCAGGGCAGGGACGTGGGCACAGCAGCTGCAGCTCTGTGACAGTGCTGGGGTCACCCCCCTGCTCCTGCCAGTGCCCAGGGGTGGGCATTGGACCCAGAGCCCCCTTAGCCCCAGGCCACAGCCTATTCCCAAGGTGCTGCTTCATTGCCATCACCCCTGGAAGTCAGCCACAACTCCTCTGGCTGGTGCTGGGTCCCCCAGGAGCCATCAGCAGGAATATTTCAAACCCCTGGGTTCATGTTCCCAAAGCTGGGAGTTGTGGGCACATCTGCCCATCCCTCATGCCAAGTGCTGTGCCAGGCTGATGCCTGCATCCCAAATGGCTCCAGAGCCACTCTCCAGCCCTGTCTGCTCCATTCTTTGTCTGCAGGATGAGCACCACTCCCTGTTCTCCCTCTGACTCCCTGTCTTTCTCCTTTAGGAGAAGAAAATTGTTCTCACCTATTTTGCCCCGACACCAGAAGCCTGCAAACACCTCTGGAAGTGTGGGATTGAGAACCAGGCTTTCTACAAGTACGTGCTGCTCTGGGGGGTGTCCCCACGGGTTGGTGCCCACCTGTGGGCTCCATCCAGGCACTGGGGTTGGTCACTGGCTGTGTGGCACCTTTGGCCACTGGCCCTGGCAGAGCCCCCAGCCACCAAAAGCGCCTGAGCACCCTGAGGATGGGGTCTCTGCCCTGCAGGGTCCCTCCTTTCCCAGCCCCTCTGTGCCCATCCCTCCTCAGCAAACTCCCATCAGGAGATTAGAACTAATTATTTGGGACGAAGCCTGGAATGCCAAGCAGCACCATCCTGTTCGTGCCATTCTTAACCCAGGCCACTTTGTGCCTCGTAATGAGTTTCATTTTAATCAGCAAGCTGCGAGACAGAGCATTCGATGCATTCCCACCGGGAATTCTGCAATCAGCAGCTGCAATCAGCAGGTTTCACTCCTCATTACATGAACATGAAATGAAATTGCAATATTGCTTTACAAATCTCTCTGTGATTCATGGTGCCAGTGAATCACCCACGGGTTGTGCACCCAGCGGGCGGACCATGGGCTGGCCTGAGGTGCTGCTGGGCACTCCCGGGGTGAGGGATCAGCTCCTGTGGGATGGGGAGGAGACGGGATGGTCCCTCTGGGCAGCTTCACCCCTGCTGGCGAGTGCCCACCTGCCCAGGAGGGGCTGAGTCTGTCCCCCTGCAGTTCCCAGGCCGTGGGGAGCTCTCAGCCCCCTGGAGAGACCTCACGGCGCTCCTGGGCCCTTGCAGGTTGGAGAAGTCGAGCCAGGTGAGGACAGTGTCCAGCAGCAACCTGTTCTTCAAGGGAAGCCGCTTCCGCTACAGGTGAGTCCTGCACAGGAGCAGCTGCTGGGAGAGTGTGTGTGTGTCTGTGTGTCTGTCTGTGTGTGTGTGTGTCTGTGTGTGTGTCTCTGTGTGCTCCTTGGGGAGCAGCTCGGGGCTGCAGCAGCCCAGGGACACCTCAGGGCCTTCCACGACCCCCCCTGCAGCACTGACCCCACCGGGGCACCCCCAGCCTCACAGGAGAGGTTTTGGAGGGACGGGAGCAGAGGATGGGAGATCTGGGCTTGAGGACAGCAAGGTGTGACACCAATCACCACAATCCCCAAATTGCTGTGCTGAGCTGCTGGAGCGAGAGCCTGGAGCAGGACCTGGTGTCTGCAGGATGAGGCGTGTCCCCAGCACCGAGGTGCACAGTGCTGGCACCCTCCTGGCTGCCATGGCAGGACCTGGATGCCCGTGTGGTGCCCACCTCAGCTGAGGGGAGGCGATTGGTGTGGGAGGTGGTGGGATCTCACTGGGAGGTGATGGGACACTTGGTGTCCAGCATCCCATGCCAGAGGCAGCAGCAAAATACGGTGGCAGAGGTGTCAGCCCAGCCTTCCCCATCACCCCCATCCCCTGGAGAAAACATTCCTGCTTTCCCCTGGAGCTGTGTGGGGAGGGGCCCAGGCTGTGCCCACCCGGCTGCCAGGGCTGTGCCCTTGTCCTCACCTCTGCTGGTCTTGTCCCACCTGCAGCGGCCGCGTCGCCAAGGAGGTGATGGAGTCCAGTGCCAAGATCAAGAGGGAACCCCCCGAGATTCACCGGTGAGAGCCTGGCAGCAGCTCCCAGGGGCGGGAGCCGGGGGTGGGAGCGGGGCTGGGCGCTGCTGTGTGCCCGGGGTGGGAACATGCCCAGGGTGGGAGCGGGGCTGGGCACTGCTGTGTACCCGGGGTGCTGCCGTGTGCCTGGGGTGGGAGCGTGGCTGGGGTGGGAGTGTGCCCAGGGCAGTGCCGTGTGCCCAAGGTGGGAACATGCCCAGGGTGGGAGCATGCCCAGGGCACTGCCATGTGCCCGCAGCGCTGGCTCTGTCCTGGCCCTGATCCTGTCCCCACTGCTGTCCCCAGGGCCGGGCTGGTGCCCAGCCGGAGCTGCCCCTCCATCACGCACGGCCCCCGGCTGAGCAGCGTGCCCCGCACCCGGCGGAGAGCCGTCCACATCTCCATCATGGAAGGTAGGACACGGGGCAGCCCTGCCCGGCACGCCGGGGCACGGGAACACGCACACCTGGGCACCTGCACACGCAGGGACACAGGGACACAGGGACACAGGGACACACGGACACAGGGACACACGGATACAGGGACACAGGGACACAGGGACACAGACAGGGACACACGGACAGGGGCACACAGACACAGGTGTGCACATTGACACAGAGGACACAGACACAGGTACACAGATGCATGTACACACAATGTGCACAGACACACAGACACATACGTGCATGTGCACATGCATACCTGTGTACACACATACACACGCACACATGCACACACACACACACACACACACACACACACATGCACGCACACACACACACACACACACACACACACACATGCACACACACACACACACACACACACATGCACAGTGTCCAGCTGAGGCTGCAGCCCCTTGTCCTCAGAAAAGCTGGCTGATGTTCCACCAGGCTGGAGAGGGGAGGCTGCTCCTCCCTGTCCTGGGGCTGTGTCACTGTAGGATGATGCACTGGGAGGAAGGTCTGGCAAAAGGCAAAACACTGGGAGCAGCACTGGCAGCAGAGGTGCCCCACAGGGGCACGCGGGGCTGTGGCTGTGCTGCTGGGGGTGGCTGTTACCTGTGGTGACAGCAGGGTCCGACTGCCCCTGGATGGGGCCAGCCCTGCCCCAGCACAGGCAGCCTGGTCCCGGTCCTATCCCGGAATGCAGGCAGGGACAGGGCCTGGCTGCTCCACGGGTGGGATTTAATTCCAACAAGGGAACCCAGGGCTGGTGGCTGTGCCAGTTTTGGGTCACCTCTGCCACCCAGTTACATGTGACAGTCTGGGAAGCAGCCAGTGCTTTAAATCACCTCCCACCATAAATCACCCCGAGCTGGCACCACCCCTTTGCTTTTCCTCACTCTCACCTCAGCTCGGTCCCGTGGGAATGCAGGTGCCCAAAATAGTGCTGAGCCCAGGGCCGGCAGCAGTGCCACTGGCAGAGCTGTCCCCGCGCTCCTTGAGTCCCTGTGCCACCGCCACCATGGTGAAGTGCCTGGTAAAGATTAAAACCAGGGTCAGCGTCCACCTGTGGCTCATCAACCACTGCTGCCGGGCGGTGCGGGTGCGGGTGCTGGCCCTGGGCCCGCGGCTGCTGTCCCGGGCCCTGGGGATTCTGCCGCTGCTCCCGGCTGTCCCCAGCCTCGATGCTCCCTGCGGCCCCGGGGACCCACCTGAGCCAGGTAACGCTGCGCCGCGGGGTCTGGGGTCCCCTGGAGTGTCCACAGGGTACCATAGGCAGCTGCTGAGCAGGCGGGATGCAGGAATGTGGGGTGCAGGATATGCGTGGCAGGGACTCCGCTGGGGTCTCCGAGGCTGGCTGGACTCCAGGTTGGTGTTACACAGAGCAGCTGTGGTGGTGGGGCCAGTTTTCCAGGATTTTCCAGCTTCTGCTGCCGGTCCTGTGGAAGCAGATGGCAGGAGGGTTTGGGTCTGGGGGCCAGCACTGCTGTCCCTGTGGTGATGAGCAGTGGCACCCCCTCAGTGGCTGTCCCCCATGTTGGGGACACAGTGGGTGCTGTGGGGATCATTCTCATGAGAGGGGAGAGCGCAGAGCTGGGAGGGAAAGAGCGTGTTCCCTCCTCACTGCCCAGGAGCACAGCGCTGAGCTGGGCTGAGCTGGAGGCATCTGGACAGTGCTCACAAAGGAGAGGCTGCAAATCCCAGGGAATGCGGCCGGATGAGCTCCGGGTGCTGCCCTTCACCCTCCGGCAGCCAGGACATGGTGACAGCATGTCGAGGTGCTTTAGTGCACTGTGCTCTGCCCCAGGGACAGCTCCAGCCCCGTCCCTCTCCAGCCGCCTGCAGGGTGGCCCTGGGGACCAGCTGGTCGCCACCGTGACCTTCAGACACCCTCCGGGGAGCTGGGGCCGCTGCAATGGCAGAGTTCCTTCCTAACCCCCCTGCCTGCCAGACCTACGTGAAGCAAGTCCCTTATGTGTGTGGTTTCTTGGAATTTGGGGATTTAGAGATGTTGGTGGGGGCAGGAGTTCCTTGGCACAAAGGACCAAAGTTCAGCCAGGCACGGGGCTGGGAGCTGGCACAGGGGCTGGCACGGGGACTGGCACACAGGTCCTGGCAGCGCTCCTGCTCAGCTGTGAGCAGCGTAAACATTTGGATTGTGGCGAACTCAGAGCAGCCCGTGCTGCAGGGGGACGTCTCCCCATGTGCTGGGGGACACCCGCCCCCACCAGCCCAGCACGACCCTCTGCTCATGCATCTCCCACCCGGGGCTCATCGCTGCCACCCATCCCTGTCCCCCGCGCTCCGTGCCCGTCCCGTCTGTGCCACCCTGTCCCGGGCCGGTGCCCGCGGTGCTGCAGTGCCACAGCTGCTGCTGGCAGCGGCAGAGGGGCCCCAGGCACGGTGGGCCGCTGCCAGGGGGACTGTCACCGTCACCTCCGGGCAGCTGCAGCCCTGGGGTGCGTGTGATGGCCTGCGGACAGCCTGGACCCTACCGGCTCCCAGCCAGCGGCTGGCCGTGCCGCTGACCAGCCAGGCGGGTGTCGAGGTGCCACCGCGGCAGTCACAGGTTGTGCTGAAGGGGCTGCAGGTCCCGGAGGACCAACAGTAACAGCAAGCAGCGATCCAGGGCAGCCGCCGCAGCCTGTCCGTGCGGGCACACCGGGGTGGGCGGCGCGGCTGGCACAGGGACCCGCTGCGCCCCGCTGAGCGCCCCTCGGCCTCTCCTGTCTCCCCAGGCCTGGAGTCCCTCCGTGACAGCGCCCACTCCACCCCGGTGCGCTCGGCTTCCCACGGCGACGCCCTGGCGGGCCCGGGCCGGAGCGGCCGCGCCGAGAGCAGCGAGCGGGTGGCCGTGATCGCCGACGAGAGCTACAGCCCCGCGGACAGCGTGCTGCCCACGCCCGTGGCCGAGCACAGCCTGGAGCTGATGCTGCTGTCCCGCCAGGCCAACGGCGCCCCGTGCAGCATCGAGGAGGAGAAGGAGTCGGAGGCGGGCACGCCGGCGGCCGAGGCGGAGGGCGAGCTGCGGGCGCTGTGCCCGGGCGGCACAGGCCTGGGGCCGGCACAGGCCCAACAGGTGAATAAGTTTCTTTTAAGTGTCCTCCGTTTGCTCCTTGTGACAGTTGGACTCCTCTTTGTTTTGCTCCTCCTCCTGATCGTCCTTACCGAGTCCGACCTTGACACTGCCTTTTTCCGCGATATCCGCCAGACCCCAGAGTTCGAGCAGTTCCATTACCAATACTTTTGTCCCCTCAGGCGATGGTTTGCCTGCAAGCTCCGCGCCGTGCTAAGCCTGCTCATTGACACCTGAAGGCAGGAGCCACCGCGGGGCCCGGACCTGCCGCCGGCACTCACTAACCCTCCCCTCCCGCCCCAGACCGGCCGAGGCGGCGGCTTTCCGGGAGGAAGAGGAGGGTGGGCGCAGCCCCCGGAGCCCCCTCCTCCCCGTGCTCCCAGCCCCGGAGCCCGCACAGCTCCTCCCGTCCCCGATCCCACGCACACCACTGGGGAAGCACCGAGCAGAGGGGAATTCCTCGCTCCGCCACGCCGGCCGGGCTGGCGGGGCCGTCCCGCAGGAGCTTTAGCAATGGTGCTACTGAGGTTTCATTAACACTCGTGTACTGTTACGGTATCGAATCCGCACTGTGCCCGCCGCCCCGCCCTCCACGAACCGCTTGGCAGAGCCCTCCCTGCCCACCGGAGCCTCCTCGGGGTGCCGCAGCTCTCGGGACGCCCCGGTGCCCTCCTCCGGTGCCCTCCTCCGGTGCCCTCCTCCCGCAGCGCAGCCATCGGAGCCCTCGCCCTGCTGCGGACTCGGCCCTTCGCCACTTCCTTAAGCCTTGAAGCGTCGGTGCTCCCGAGGCCAGGGGAGCACAGAAGCCAGGGGACGCCGGGCACGCGTGGCCAAACCCGGCGTGGAGCTGTAGTGACTGTGCCAGATTTATTGGGATGACCTTTACCCTCCGCCAGTTGTACCTGTTTTGTAAAAAAAAACCAAGCAAAAAGAACAAAAAAAACCAAAAAACAAACAAACAAAAAAGAGAGACATTTCAAGGTCTATTTTAACAAGGAAATGCTATTTTGTTATCAAATCTAATCCAGTCTTTTTTTACTTTACGGATGGGGTGACCGTGGGTGCCGGTACCAAGCGGTTCTCAGTGAGTGATGGTTTAAGAGTAAACACCGGGAACCCAAGGCCAGCTGAGCCCTGCTGGGTTTGGGTCAGAGAAGGAGCTCTGATTTTGGGACTCCTCCCAAGAGGACGCGTTCAGAAGCGCAGGTGACACTGAAGAAGCCAACGGACACCTTCAGCCCCGACCGTCGTTGAGTGCAAGTCAATAAACCCAACTCATCGTGATGACCCCCGGACTGTTGGTCACCAGGAGCAGCAGCCCATCCACAGGGAGCAATAACAGCCAGTTCTGGTTAGCTCGGGGTGACAAGTTGGACATATCAGAAAAAAAAAAAAAAAAAAAAAAAAAAAAAAAAAAAAAGGTGAAAACAGCTGAGTAAGTTTAATTTCATCTCAGGGAGAGATTCTTCTGTAAGCTGGGGCCATAACTGCAGTTTTACAAAGCCTGATGTCCGTGTTGTCTTTGAGCAGCACCACCCATGGCCAGGTGACGTCGGGCCACACAGGCTCCTTGTCACCGCACCACGGGGAGAGGTTCTGTCAGGGGACACGGTCCCCTGCCCCGCTCCAGCACGGCCCGAGGAGGGCTGCGGTCCAGCCCCGGCTCCAGAGCAAGGCAGGAGCCCTCGGGAAGGCTCCAGGAGGCGGAGGAGCGAATTTTTTACATGATAATCCTGTTTTATGCAACATAGCAGAATTAACTCTTAGTGTAGTGTTCCTACCTCAGCCCATAGCGCTGATGTTTCTATGCAGTTGTGCTCGTCCCGACGCTGACATTTTTCACCCTGGGTTAACGCTGCAGTGTCGTCCCTCCTCCTCCTCCTGCTCTCCTCACTGCAATGTTCTGTGTGACGTGTGACAGCACAGCCCGTCCCGCGCTCCATCCTCTTCGGACACGTCCTGGAGCCCCCAGCTGGGCCCTTCACCTTGGCTTTCCTCGGGTGACGCTCCGTGCCAGCCCCAGGTCACCTCTGCCGTTGTCACCCAGGGTTTTACTGCAGAACCACGGGAATTGGTGATTTTCCGTTGTACCGTCTGTCCCAGATCCTGTCGTGTTTCAGGCCCTGTTAGTTTTACCCGTCTTTCTATCAAAATGTTGTTTCCATAGGTTCTGAGGTCAGAAACCCATGAATCTCGTCCTAGCGTACTGCATCTTTCAGCAGTAGACAGTAAAATACCTGAAAATGTGAATTTCTTAGTTTTCATAAAGAAAACCTAGAGATTAACCTTTCATGTGCCAAATACTGTAAGTTACATCTTTTTTTCCTTCAAAATGTACCTTTTTCTACATATCCAATACCTTAGTTAGCATAAAATCATTGGTGCCATGAAAAGTATTTTTAAATTTAAATAAATATTTAAATATCATGGAAAGCAGAGTCGGGATGAGCTTTGTTCAGTTATTCTATTCTTCTTATGAAAACAGCTCAAACTGTGAGAAATCTGGTCTTTTAGCAGCTTCCTACTGGAGTGAGAGTTCCAGAGCTGCAGGTGAGTCCCTTGCACTCCAGGAGCACAATTTCACAAATGCACCTGGGAGTTTTGGGCCCCTCACCACAAGGAAGGCACTGAGGGGCTGGAGCCCCAGGAGTGGCTGAGGGAGCTGGGGCTACAGGATCGCTTTTAATTCCATGGAAGATATAGGTGCCAAAAGTAGTTACACTATTTATTTTAAGACTTTCAAAGTACATTTCTGTCCTGAGAAACAACAGTCAGCTTCAGAACTGCTTAATACAAATAAACAAAGTCAGTGCAGAAAGGTAAAAAATAAAGATTTAAGGCACTTCTACTTGAACACGTGGAGGCGGCCACTGGAGTTGCCTCCCGCCAGGATGTTCTGGCTGGGGTGGACGACGTTGATGGAGCACACGGAGGCGAGGCAGTCCACGTTGCAGAAGGAGTGCAGCAACTTCCCGGTGTCCTGGAAGACCTCGATCCGCCTGGGCTGTGCCATGCTGCCCACCAGGAAGCAGTGCTCCTGTTTGGGGTCCCAGATGGCCCTGAAGCGGGTCAGCCAGCGGCCTGTGTTGTTGTTGTGCCTGCAGGGGAAGAGGAACGTTCCTCCTTGTGAATCCAGCATTTTAAATCATCATTTATGTCCCATCTGCTCCCTTGCCTTCTAAACCTTCAGCACTCACACTGCAGTGCTCAGAGCCCTGCAGTGGATCCCTGTCCTGGGATGGGCAGGATGGTCCAAGAACAGAATGGTTTGGGCTGGGAGAGGCCTTAGAGATGGCCCAGTGCCACCCCTGCCATGGCAGGGACACCTCCCACTGTCCCAGGGTGCTCCCAGCCCTGTCCAGCCTGGCCTTGGGCACTGCCAGGGATCCAGGGGCAGCCACAGCTGCTCTGGGCACTCTCAGAGAAAACAATTCCTTCCCAAGATCCCATCTCACCCTGCCCTCTGGCAGTGGGCAGCCATTCCCTGTATCTGTCCCTCCAGACCCACAGGAGCAGCCCCGGCGCTGCCCCGGCCCAGGTGCACTGTCCTTACCTGATGGAGCTGAGCGATGTGACAGTGGATGACAAGGACGAGGTGTCGTAGACCCTGGGCACAGAAGAGCACATTAACACCGTGAAGCTGTGCTATGGAGCCAGCCCTTCCCTCCCACAGAGCACCAGCTCCTGGGGCCAGGGGTGTGGGACGCAGGCAGCAGCACACACACCCAGCCTGGAACTGCAGCCCACCCTGGCTGGCAGCTCCGGAGCAGCGGCTGCAGAGCCCCAAGGCCAGCCCAGCATCTCACCTGCTCCTCCGCCCCTGTGAACCAACCCCTCCGAGAATAAACTGCCCAGACCACACACAAAATCAGGCAATCATCCAAATTACAGTCACAAAGTAACCAGGAGAAAAAGAACCTCTAACACAAGCAACTCACAGCAACCTAAATTATGAAATGGTAGGCTATTTACAAAAGAGCTGAGATCATCATTATTTCAAGTATCAGCTACAAACAAATTTCGTTTCTGAGCATTTTGTGTTTGTGTTCACCAGCCAGGTTTTGGCTGGCTGTTTCTGTGGGTTTTGATTTTGTTTGTTTTTTAAAGATTAACAGTACCGGTACATTTTTTCTTTTAAATATCCTGAGGGAAAATGAGAATTAGGAAAAAAACAGCCAAACCAAAAAAATCATTAAGAACTACATTAAAAATGTTAATGCAAGTAAATATTAATCATTTTTTTAAAGTGATAAAGACACAAGGTGCTTGATGTTGGGTCATGTGGAGAAGTAATAATAATAATAATAATCATGATGATCATGATGATGATAACAAACCACCCAAACAGTTGGCATTTTCCATGAGGATTCTTCCTTCCACAGCCTTACCTCAGCCGGTCATCAGCACACACTGTCACCACCCTGCTGCCAGTGACAGGTGAGAAATAGGCTGAGGCCACACTCTTGGTGTGGCCTGTCAGAGAGCTCAGGGGGTTGTTCTCCTTGGTGTTCCGAAGGTACCGAACATCAAAAACACAAACGTCCCTGCAACAGGTACCACAAACACTTCAGTAATTACCCTTCATTCACCAAAAAAGTCCAGAGCACGGCAGGCTGTGTGAGAGCTGGTTCAGAGCTTCAATATCCACTCAAATGGTAGCTCTGAGGGATTTTGGGAGCACCAAAACCACCCCAACCAGCCCTCCATACAGTCCCTCTGTGCCAAAGCCCACCAAGGCCCATCTGTCCCCATTTGGTCTGGGAAATCAAACCAAATCCCACCTTAAATCCTGCTAAGGACTGAAAACTTGTTTTCTAAAAGGACCGAGACAGCTGTGACTGTAAATCGAGGCTGAGAAACTCCTCAGCCCCAGCTCTCCCCAGCACAGAGACCACTGAAAAACCAGCCTGTTCAGTCTGGGCTACGTACACGGAGCCAGCAGCCAGGAAATACTGTTTTTTCACGGGGTGCACATGGACTGTCCGTGTCCTCCTGAAGCCAATGTCCACAGTGAGCTCCGAGGACACCCCCGGCGTCCGTCTGTCCACAACAGCCACGGGCCCGGCCCACTGACTCACTATGGCAGTGCAGGCATTCTCTTCCAGGAAGTCGAAGCAGGACAAGTCTTCCTCACCCCTGAAGATCTGAGCCCAGGGAAAGTTAAATATCACCAGAACTAAAGGAAACAGGCAGTTGTTTTAACACGCAAACGCTCCCTAGGCTATGGGTTTCACCCTTTCCCTCTTTAATTCACTAAAAACCATGCTGCCCATGAGAGAGCTTCACCCAGCTGTGCAGGTAACCCTTCTGTGAAACAAGGATGCTTTCCACAGGGGAAATGATTAGGAGATAATTAACCATCCAAACCAGACCAGCAACAGCACACTCCAAATTCCCTGTCACCTCTGTGTTCCAGCAATCAAAGGGCTGTTGGCCTTGAGCACACACATTGAGTGAGGATTAAAGATATCTTTCCCTTACCCAGTGCTCCAGAAACTTTTAATCATGTGCGGAAATGTAAACTTGGAAACTGGGAGAACCCAGGCTGTCACCGGGTTTGGGTGAGTAGGAAACATCTCCCTATTTATGTGACGTTAATTAAATGTTGAACATATCCTTGTGGAACTAGAACCTGAACCTTCCTGCTAATAAAACAACCAAATACTGAGTTGGTACAAGCAGACTAAGCCCTCCCAGCAGTGCCTCACCTCATCAAAGACAGCCCTGGTGACATCGCCACAGCGCAGAGTGTCATTGCTGAGGGACAGCAGGTGAGCAGGATTGCAGGGAGAGAAGTGCATGCAGCTGACATGGAAGTTGTGGGGGATGAAGATGTGGGCTCCCTCCTCAGTCCCGCCGCTCTGCAAAATGACAGATCCCACAGACACAGGTGCTGATCACTGCAGTTATTTCTGTTAATGGCTACAACTCTTAAGGCCAAATCTCTGTCTTTTGAATGTTTTTTGGAGGAAGCAGAGGGTGCTAGGTGCGAGGAGACAACTGCACAGGTGATATGGACAGTGAGACTGCTTCTGGTCCCTAATTATGGAAAGCTGCAACTTCCTGCTGCGATCAGTGCCACTGCAGCCACCAGCCCTGGACCTGGAGAGCAGCACCTGGCTCATTTTCACCCACACTGCTGGAGTCTGCTACCACATCAAAATACGGACACACCGGGTTACTGAGAGCTCAGGCTGAGTTAGTGACCCGAACTCCATGAACTCAGGATCTCCCGTGTCTTCTCTTCTAAGTTTGGCATCATTTTGTTATTTTAAAAGAAACTGAACAGGTCATTTTGGACCAAGTTCTGGTTCATCTCACAAAGAAGATTCTGCTTTCAAACTTCAGAAAAATAAAAGGGAGAGCAAAAGGGAGAGCTGTTCTGGCAACTCTAAATCTGACAGTCACTCTTGACAACCATCTGGTATTATCCCTAAGAATGGAAAAAACCTAAAACACTCTCATGAGCCTGACAAAATGCCAGCCCAGGCTGTGCCCCTGAACCACACACCTGTTGAGATGAGGAGCACATCAAGCACTCACCACATTCCAGAGGCCAACGTGCCCCAGGGTGTCTCCAGCTGCCACAAGGATGGTGCTTTCGGAAGGGTGGATGGCCATGGAGACCACCCGGGATTTCACCACCTTCCTGATGTTCTCCTCGCTCAGCACCATGCTGCTCAGGCTCTCCTGGTACCTGGAAAACCAAAATGACAAAAGGTTCATTCGGGAAAGAAGGGGGGCCACACAACCCCCAGTTTTGGCTGCTGTTTTCACATTACCTCTTTATGTCAGGTGTGCCCCGCTCAGCAACATCAGCTTTCAGCTACAGACAGAGAGATCTAATGAAAATCAGAGCTCAAGTGAAATTACATAGTCCAAAACCAACAAATAAAACGTAATACCTCACTTATCCTCATCCACGTGCTCAGTAAAGCCTCTGTCTGTTTACTGCTCTCCACCTGATACTCTGGAACCATGGGCAAAGGTCCGACTGGAACCCGAGGCTGGGAGGACATTGGCAATGTTTGTAACTCAAACCATCTAAACCACAAACAAGGTGAATTGGTACTTTCCCCACACCAGACATTCTGAGAACACGCCTACTGTAGGACAGGAAATAAACAGTAAAAACAGAAGGTGATATCACAACTAAAAAGAGAAAGCGAATTTCACTGGCAGCACAGACCAACTGCCTCCCTGGGTTTCTTCCTCTCCTGATACTCCAGCAAGACCTTTACTACAGATTCAAATCTATTCTACAGCTCCACGGAAGACTTAAATTCCCATCTGTCAGAACAACATGCCTTTTACTTGTTGTTCCATCACTACTTCAAAGAGATGCTAAATATTACCCAGGAAAATAAAACCAGCTCAGAAGTTACAGCAAAATAAAAACCAGAGTAATAAACGTTTGGATTCAAGGCTGCTCAGCCCCATGGATGTGGAACGTTCTACCTCAGGACCCTTCTGTGGATCCCCAACTGCAGCATGCCATCAGCCTGGGTCACAGAGCACTGACAGAACTGACCCCTCCTTCCTGTCCCTGTGTCACAGCTCCCAAACGCCTCAGTGCCATGCCCAGTGCCACCCACCAGTGTCACCAGCAGTGGCTTTAGGAAGCTGCTGCGCACCCACCCCTCCTGCAGCCCTTCCCCATCTCACATATTCCTTTGCTTCTGCCTGGGCAAATGTGTCCAGCAACGGAATGTCCAGCGGTGGCTCCACCCGGAGCAGGCGCATGGATCGCCGCGGGGCCGGCTCATCCTCCACCTTTTTAGGCTTGGCCCTGGAACAAGGAGAGCACCTCAGTCACCGAGCAGAGTCCCCGTGTTTAGGGACAGGCCCAAGGGACAGCTGACTGACACCAGCCCTGCAGGAGGGATGGGCAGCTTTTCCACCCGTGACACTGAGGAACAAAACCAGGAGCGCTCTGCAGGGCACACGCGTCTGCCACCGCTGCTTCCCTGTGACACATCCCTTCACAGCTCTCCTCACCCATTATCCACCCAGCCATTCCCACCTCCTCCCATCACACAGCTTACTCTTTCTTTGGGCTTCAGCTCGACCTGGCACGGTTTTGGCACGGCCAGTGTCTTCTCCTCCACACTTACTCGTCACCCTCTCCCTTGCACCTTGGTCACACCCTCCTTTTTTTCCCTTCACCTTTTCCCAACATTTGTTTTCCTCCCACAATGAAGAATTGAGGATATAAATCTCATCTGCTGTTACTGTACCTTTTAGTGACCCGAGATTGCCTTTTAGTGGTAAGTTGGTTAAGCCTTGCAGCTGACTTAAAAGAGAAAAAAAGAGATTAATTATAGATAATGAGCATAAAGAATTAACCTGTATAAAATACAATTATCTCAAGTCAGTGATGAACTTACTGCAATTATTTATAATAATAAGAAAGAAACTGTGGTTGCCCCATCCCTCTAAGTGTTCCAGGCCAGGCTGGATGGGGCTTGGAGCACCCTAGGCTATGGAAGGTGTCCCTGCCCATGGCAGGAGGTGGAATAAGAGGGGCTTTAAGGCCCTTTCCAAACATTCCAGGATTCTGTGATTTCATGGCTTTCCTCATACACAGCTGCACCAATGAGGAAAGGGTTTCACACCAGGAGAGACAACAGTGCAATTATGACACTTGGAAAGAGCATTTTGATGCTATTTAGACCAAATACAAACCTCATGCAGCTTTAGAGCAGCAAAGAATTTAGCATTTTCTGTGATGTTCTTTAGCCTTTTCCTTTCATAGGCTGATAGGTGGGAGTATCCATCCTACAGAATGAAAAGACAGTCACTCTCCATCATACAGTCACATGGCTGCAAGAGTGGTCCCAGGCTCAGGAAAGTGAGTCTCTGAACTGTTTAAATCATTTTTAAGTGATTTGATATATTTGTAACAAATGTAAGACCATACAAATTGGGGTGGTCATGTATCAACAACAGAATCAGTCCATACAGGTCCAGTTTGCTTTATAAAACTTACTCTGGCATTAACTATATGAAGAGAACTGTATCAGAATTTTTAATAATGAAAGCAATAACGAAGAGACTGAATAAAGAATTTAAAACTTCAGTGAAAGGGTAAAATTAAGTGGGACACTGCAGCCAGAGGTTAAAAAGGGGGTTATAAAACTTAGTTACAGAAGAAGAACACTTAAAAGGCTAACTTCTGTACAGATAACCGGGGGCCGGGTACTCACCGGAGCCGCGTCTCCCCCGTCACTGACGTCGCTGTCCGCATCCCGCAGCCCGTCCTGGCCGCGGGCAGCCGAGCTGGGCCCGGGCGGGGAGCCGGGAGGGGCTCTGGGGCCGCTCCGGGGCTCCGGGCACGGCCTCTTGCCGGCCGGGGCGCGGGCGCTCAGCAGCCGCTTCTGGGGCAGCGGCGTCAGCACCACCCGCAGCTGCCGGGCCAGCCCCGGGGCCGCGCTCGGCCGGAGCTCGGCGGGGCCCGCAGCGAGGGACCCCGGCGGGGGAGAACGGGGCTGGGAAGGGCCGGCCTGGGGCAAATCCTGAGGGGGTGAACGGGGCTGGGAAGGGCCAGCCTGGGGCAAATCATGTGGGGGAGAACGGGGCTGGGAAGGGCCGGCCTGGGGCAAATCCTGCGGACGAGAACAGGGCTGGGAAGGGCCGGCCTGGGGCAAATCCTGAGGGGGTGAACGGGGCTGGGAAGGGCCAGCCTGGGGCAAATCATGCGGGGGAGAACGGGGCTGGGAAGGGCCAGCCTGGGGCAAATCCTGAGGGGGTGAACGGGGCTGGGAAGGGCCGGACTCCTGCGGGGGAGTACGGGGCTCGGAAGAGCCCGCCGGGAGGGACTCCTGCGAGGGTGAACGGGGCTCCGAAGGGCCGGACTCCTGCGAGGGTGAACGAGACCCGGCGGGGCCCGGCGAGGAGGACTCCTGATGGGGTGAACGGGGCTCGGCAGAGTCCGGCGAGGAGCGCTCCTGCGGGGACGAGCGGGAGTCGGCGGGGCCCGGCGAGGAATCCTGATGGGGCGAACAGGAGTCGGCGGGGCCCGGCGAGGAGCGCTCCTGCGGGGATGAACAGGAGTCGGCGGGACCCGCGGCCGGACGCCCGGCACCGCCGGGCCCTGAACCCGGCCCTCCCCGCTCCTCACCCCCCGCGGTTTCTCCCCTCACAGCCGTCGTGCCCCCTCTCCTGCCAGCCCCCGCTCCCCTCCCGGCTCTCCGTGCCCGCCCTCCCCGCGGCCCCGCACCTGCAGCTGCTGCCGGCGCTGCGCCGCCGGCTCCCCGGGCAGCGGCGGCCCGGGCTGGGACAGCGCCATGGCGCGCGCGGGGCGGAGCGGCGCTTCCCGCCCGCGCAGCGGCGGCGCGGCGGGCCCGCCCTCAGCGCCCTCAGCGCCCTCAGCGCCCTCGGCGCGGCGCCGCCCGGCTGCGCTGCCGCGGGGCACGGCGGCCGGTGCCGCGGAATTCCTGCCTGCAGGCGTGAGGCACCGGCACAGCCTGCCCACAGCAGCTGCGGCTGCCGCTGGACGTGCCCGAGCCGGGCTGGAGGGGGCTCGGAGCGGCCTGGGGTGGTGGAAGGTGTCCCGGCCCTGGCAGGGATGAGCTTTAGGGTCCCTCCCAAGCCCAGCCGTGCGGACTCGGTGCCCGGGAGCAGCGGATGGAATCCTGGCTCCGGGCAGGCAGGGGAAGGGCTCGTCCTGCCCTGCCCTGCCCTGCCCTGGCCGGGGCACAGCCGCCCTCACACCGACACCGCCGTGCCCGGGCCACGGGCAGCTCCCAGCACGGACACGATCTCGGTTCAAAAATAAAACAGCTAAGTGAAAAAAAGCACACCCAGGGCAGGGTTAGACGCTGTGGGGAATCAAATAGGAAAGTTAAAAACATTTCTTTTCCTTCCCAGCCTGCTCTTTGCAGAGCAGCAGCCCAGCTCCCAGCGCTGCAGCACTGAGGCAGGAGCAAGCGAGGACAGACAGAGGCAGCCACAGCTCGGGGGACATGCAGCCCCCAGCAGCTGTGGCCACGAACATGTCCCCAAGGAGGCTGTAAAGCGGGATCACAGGGAAGAGCGTCACCAACAGGGGACATTCCTAGAACCACGCACAAGTAGAAAGGCACAAATAAACTGACAAGTTAAAAAATACTTCTTTAATGTGAGCTTTCATACTCAACAAATACACAAGTCCCAGAAGGTTCAGCAGCAGCAAATGAAACAAAAATTTAATAAACAGTGATTCCATCTTTGGGAAATTCATCCAGTAATTGCATTTCCCAGCTAAAGTATGGAATACGAAGGCTGAAGGAAGCTCCTGGATTTGGGTTTGGGCAGTGCCATCATGGCCAGCTTCCCAGCTGCGCCCTGTGTGCCACCAACACTGTAGGACACGGAGCTGGCACCAGAGGAAGCTGGAGCCTTCGAACTCTGCAGCTTCTTGGTCCTTCTGTACCTGCTGTAGCCACTGCAAAAATCAGAGAAGGTATGTGTGAGACACCTGTGGCACCTGCCCTGGCCCCTGCACCAGCCTGCGCTCACACAGGCACCACCACTGCATTTTCTAGAGAACTACACACTCATTCTGTAAAATTTACTTTTTTTTTAACGCACATGGCTGCAAAACGACCTCTGAAATGCAAACAGTACAGCTGCTGCTCTGGGATGTACCCAAAGGTGAGCAGCAACAGCAAATGACACTTCAGAGGCAGCAGCAACTAATAACAGATATTCCAGTAGATGGGAAAGAGACAAGGGTGGAACAAAACCTGCTGGGCTGGGAAAACATTTGCTACAAAAACCAGGGAGCAGAATGACGAAAACTGGGGCAGGGAAGGGGAAATCCTTGGGAAGTAGCAGATCTGCCCAAGAAGCTCAAGACCAGCAAACATCAGGTGCAGGTGCTGCTTTGCATGATACAATCAGAAGGAGAATCTGAATTAACAAGGGGCCGAAGTTCAAATATTCCATCAAATGTTCAAAGTTTTAAGACCTCTTCATCATTTCAAGCAAGGAACCTGGTTAGCCTGCTAATGGCAGAACACTGAAATGCAGTGTTCCCTGCACAGCCTGCAGCAGTCAAGTGTGAGGACAACTGTTAAATATCTTTCCTCATCAGCTTTAAAAAGCAAGCATGCAGAAAAGCACAGCAGAGCAGTTCTGACCAGGCACCTGGAAAATTTTAACGTCACTATTAAAGCCCACACCCAAGAAACAGCAGCGGCATAACTGCAGTTCTGGTATCACCACTGTGCAAAGAGAAGTGACGAGTGAGCCCAGGCACGTACCCTCTGGGGTGGAACTGCTGGCTGCCACCACCAGTCTTTTTCCTCTTGGAGTCCCTGGAGGTCGGCGGCCTCTTCCTTTTCCTCCTCTGGTTTGTGTCATTGCCAAAATAGCTGGAGGTTGTACCTGCATCCTCTGCCTCTCCATCGCTCCCCAGCGAGCCCGTGCTGCCCATGGCTGTGTCCCCACCTGGGCAGGCAGCATCTTCTGCACACAGGCACAGAGGGAGAACTAACTTAGTCAGGTATCACCAAACACCCTGGCGGTGTCACAACATCTGTCCTGGCTGTTCCTCACCTCCTCTGCGCTGCCCCATCCCCAGTTTTTCAGGTACACCCTGAATTTATCTCTAGTGTGAAGACAGAAAGACTTTGGTGTATTCTGAAATTGATTGCTCCCTTTTGAAATTATTGAACTGTACAAATTAGTTATTTGTGATTAAATCATGGTAACTTTCAAATCAACCATCTGCTAGAGGAGGAGAGAAAGGCACTGAACAGGAAGTACATGTTGAGGTACAAAACACACCTGGGATGGAGCATTCTGAGTACTTATCCATCACTTTAATTATTTCTGCACCGTATTTCTCCAGTTTGTCTTCTGTGACACCGTCGATCTGCAGCAACACCTCCACGTCTGAGGACAATGTTTCTGCAGCACAACAAAGTACCCCTCAGACAGGTCAAACAAATAACTTTTTACAAAGATACCCTGAAGGAAATTCCTTTCCATGCCCCTCTACGTAGAAACCCCAAAGAAGTTCTGAGAAACCTGACCTTACCTGCTATTTTCTTTAAGGTGGAAGTACTGAAAATATTGAAGTAATGCACATCAAAGACTTTGCCCAGGGTTTTGCAGGTGTCTGTAAGTTCACTGAGGCACTGTTTAACCATCTCTTCCCGCTGGGACATCTTTGCCATGGAAGCCCTTTGCCTTCTGATGGCACTGGCACTCTCTGTCTCGTGGAACTCCACCTGTTAAAACGAGCCATCCATACCTGCTGCCATGGAACTCCTGTACACCCTGACTGGTACCACAGGAGCACAGCACAGGAAACAGGGAACGTCCTCTGATGGACCAAAAAAATCTGTTCACCCAGCACACATTTTTAAAGTAAGCTTTTACAGGCTACTCAACCACACCCCAATTTCTTCTACAAAGGGCTGGCAGAGTTTAGGGAGAAGGAAAACCTCCCAAGAGCCCAGTTCCCAGCTGGCTTCAAAGAGAGGTCACTGGGGTAATGCTGAGGGCTCTGTCCTGCTCCACACACAGCACTAAGGCAGAGGAGGTGTTGCCTCAAGAAACCTGGGACTGTTCCATGACCTTCACAAAGTGCCAATTCCATCTTCTTTCTCTTCTTAGCCATCTTTGTGGGGGTCAGAACTTTCCTTCACTGTCCAGCAGGAATCAGATGAGTGGCAAATAAGAGAAAGATTTAGACCTCTCCAAGCCTCTCAAACTCACTTTTTGTCCCACAGCATTATTACTGGAATACTGGAATCACATCTGTTGCATTCTGTTCCTCGCATCTACCAGACGTCAGTTCAGCTGGAGGCAAACTGTGTTTAAGCTACCCGAGGGGATATGCTGAAGGAAACTGCAGCACCTTCCTTAAAACAATGCCTTCAAGAAATGAAATACTTACACACCTGGAGTGACCCATCCAGCACAGCCTGAGCTCTCTCTCCCAGAATGACATATGCCACTGCCTGGTCATTAGCTGTGATGTACAAATCCTCATCCAGGATCTTGTCCAGGACCAGTTTTCTAAACAGCCTTTCAGCATTGTGCCTCGAATAGGCAGCCCCCTTCCCAAATATTCCAGACTGGATCTTGGCACTTGTTGAACCTGTGCAACAGAAAGCATAGGATGAGCCCGTGCTCACAAATCCCATGTACATGCATTTACAGACCTGTGGGAGATTCCCAAGGCACTCTATTCACAGTCAAAAAAGCCTTTAAACACTGAAAAACCAATATTATCACTATAGCAACCTGAAATGGATTAAATCCTCAGTTTCATTTATTCTGGATCACTTAGCACCAAGAGATTCTTGGGAAAATTAACTTTGCAAACTACAATTTTTTTAAACACGTACTGGCATTGCACAGCCCTCTTGATTCCTGGCCAGGGATTTGTGCACCAGGTTACTCAGGAGTTTCTGGGAGAACAGACTCACCTAGGAAAATGTCCACCATCATGTTCAGGGTGTACCTGCCAGAGCCTGGATTCCTCCTGCCGTTCATCCGCCCCGCCTGCCCGCAGTGCTCGCGCACAAACCGCACGATGCCCTTCACGTCCTCGGTCACATTCCGTGATTTGTAATCCTGTTAGGTCACACCTGATCAGGACGTGCCACTACACGTTTCTGCCCTAATCCAGGCTGTTACTGGCAACCTCAGTTTCCACTATTGAGCTTTTCTCAGCTGTGAATTGAGTTTGCTCCAAATAAAGAAACCGTGATTTCATAGTTAGAAACCTACAGTGATACAGTCACAGGGATTCTAGATGTGATAACACAAAACCAGTCCAGCTGACTGTATATAATCTCCCTGGGGTTATCTGTGTAGAGGGAGGTGCAAGACTGCTGGGTAAATACTGGGAATCAAGGTAAATCATTTGGAAACATTCCTGTAATTATCCTGCCATGCTCTAGAACATTAGAATGAGACTAAATATGCATTATCCTCGTCAAATTTGGTTCCAATCACAGCAGTATAAGGGAATGCTTCAAACACAGAACTGAGAAACAATATCCACAGGTACAAAACTGATCAGGACCCTTCCCTGCCGGCCTCCACAGCTGCCTTCCCTTCTGCTACTGCTACTAAGTTTGCATAACCCCAAATGTTTGGACCACCTTCAGCAGTGCACACCTAATGTGGCCCCCATGCTTCTCTGGCAGTACAAAGCTGCCCTGAAACACCAGGACAGAAGCTGAGGGGATTTCCCCATAGTCACTGCAGTCGATCTGATCTGAGCTCCTGCCTCCTACAAGGAACATCCTTCTGCCTCTGATGGGAACAGGAGCATCACAAGTCCATGATTAAACCCCGAAAATACTTGGAAGCATCACAAAAATACAGAACTTTTATTCATTTTCTCCATTTGCCTTCCTAAAGGTCGTGTAACCACTTCTTGATGCAGCTAAATACAAATTCAGTTTAACACCACTACAAATAAAACCTGTGGGGTTTACCTTCTTTCTGCTGCAGTTGTCACAAATCACTTCTGGGTGATCTTTGCAGAAGGTAGGGTTGAAGTTGGTCTCCCCGAAGTAGGCGAGCAGCTGGACGCGGCGGCACTCGACCACGTTCTCACAGTAGTGCACCATGCTGTACAGGTTGTTGAAGTGGGTCTGCCTCGTGTGGCTGTTCCCATCCTTCTCCACTGAAACACAGCAAATTCAATGGTGCTTGTTTCTGCACCTCTGCGTTCCCACGGACTGCGAGAAAAACTGGCTTTGCTTAAAAAATCCACAATACTGACTTTGCTTAAAAAACCCACAATACTGGCTTTGCTCAAGAAAAGATGAGCGGTCAGTACAGAACACATGTAGGACAAATTTTATCTCTGAAGTTTTAGAGGACTGGAGAAGGGAAATAAGGCTAGAATAACAAAAGTAGAGAAGGGTGAGTGTGACAGCGCGAGAGGAAGTGGCCACAAGTTGTGTCAGGAGAGGTTTATATTAGGTATGAAGAACAGTTTCTTCATAGAAAGGGCAGCAAAGCCCTGGCACAGGATGCCTTGAATGGAGTCATTATGCTTGGAAGTGCTCAAAAAATATGTGGATGTGGCACTTGAGGACATGTTTTAGTGGTGAACAGGAGGGTGGAGTTGGTCTGACAGCTGGATTTGAGGATCTTAAAAGTTTTTCCAACCTTAACAATTCCATGATTCTGTGAGGCAAAGTGGTTTTGACTAAAATTAAGTACAAGAGACAAAAGTCCTGCTCCTGACACCCGAATGAAAACCATCCAGGTAAGGATACCCAGTTGTCCCCTCCCTGCAATACTGAACTGCCCATGGCACTTGTAAAAGAGAAGTAACACAGGCTAAATGAGCCCATAACAGTGGGACTCCTGCAATGTCATCTCCAAGTTCCCAGAGGAGCACTCACTCAGGATGAGCCTTCTCAGCCTGGTCACGTCACTGTAGCTGTAGAAGAGCAGGCAGTGGGACATCTCCCCATCCCTGCCAGCTCTGCCAGACTCCTGGTAGTAACCTTCGATGGACTTGGGAAGGGACGCGTGGATAACGTAGCGCACGTCAGGCTTGTCAATGCCCATCCCAAAGGCAATTGTCGCACAGATCACCTGCGGAGGAGATTGTCAAGTTCTAGTCTCACACTATGGAAATCACTCCTGGCAACACTGCCAACAAGTGACCTGGATTAGGAAACCTGGAGAGCCCTGAATCCCAGCTGTAATGGTGCAGAACAAGCACAAACCAGCAACAACCTCCCCTCCTCTCAGAGGAGCCACTCCAGACACAGGACAAACCCAAATTCCAGTCTCTGCACAGCAGCATGCCAGGAGCTGTTTCTGAAGCCCTGCACTGCTCAGGTCCTCCCTGCTGGAGCAGCATGCCCCGATACAGTGCTACAACCTTTCATCCACAAAATTCCCACTGAAAGGTGGCTGCTGTGCCCCAGCAGGTCAGTTGGGATCAGTTATTCAATACTGCACTTGGTGATAACACTGCACAACTTCCCTATTATTTCCCAGGCCAAGAGGGATAGAAGTGCCCAGATTTTCTTCCCTTTTCCTCCCGGTTTTTCTTCACCTGGCATCCCTCCTGATTAACCCACTTCTGCTGCACAAGGTCCCTGTTGGAATCGGTGAGGCCGGCATGGTAGGCCAGGGCAGCCAGCCCCTCCTTCTGCAGGATGGCTGCTGTGGTGTCACACTCGTGCCGGGAAAGGCAATAGATTATCCCAGAGTCATCTGCAAAGAGATGGGAAAAGAAATCTGAACTGCAATACAGGTTTATTTCCTGTCCCTTCTCAACCTGCCAAGCAGACACTGACCTCTCCCCGCTGGAATAAAGATAAGAGTAAAGATATAACTGCTTCACTATAGAACTTATTATATTAGCATCAGATAGTCTCAACAGCTTTTCCTACACAGTCCTTTTGGGCTTTTGGTGAGGTGGAATGAAGAAATGTTTTCCTCATCAGTATTGTGCAATCTCAGGATTTAGAATACAAGAACAAAACCTATATAATTTAAGAGTTAGAGCAGTCCAGTAAATGCTCTCTGATGATACAGCATGGGAGAAGCTCTGAGGGAGCTTGGTGTAAGCCAGTTCCAGCAGCAGGAGCTGCAGGACTCCAAAGTGAGCCTAGAAAGATGGGAATCTCTGAAGATAGCTTCAAGGGTAAATACAGATAAGCAGACCAATGCAATTAAACAATTAAGATATTGGGTGACCTTTGTGCTCTGAAGACATGATCCTAAAAGCTCTGCAGGCTCCAGAAGGGTTATTTAAGAGCATCACCAAAATTTACTTTTCCATCTTAACTTAAATTCTCAACTTTAGAATGCAGATAAATCTGATTCCCATTTTCAGTAACATCACTTTACCTTCATCTTGCTTTTCTGGTAAATATATCACTATTAAAGCATTATAAAAGCTTTTACTGCCTCAAGAAATGGCTCATGAAGAGGCCTGTGGGCAACATGCTGCTGAGTACTCACGGGGGTGATATTTTTTAATCCATTCCAAGCAATCCAATGCCACCTTCTTTGGCTTCTTGGGCAACACATCATATTTCAAGTTATGCCTGTTGAAGCTCATTGTAAACCTGAAATGTGACAGTTCATGGTGCTTGTCAGCCTTATGGGTACAGTTATGTTGTGCTAAACAGCTTCATCATGCAAGGAAGGGCTTGGCAAGTTTTTTGTTTCTTATGTTAATATTTTTTATCTACCTCCTATTGAATTCCACGCATGCATTTAATTTAATTTCATTTCATCAGATACAGCTACACAAGGATTTCAGATGGGCCTGCGAGGCTTTTTTTACTTCGCTAAGTTTTCCACTCAAAATTTCTGCGGCACAAACAAACGGTTTCAGAAACCTGCCGAGCAACTCACACTTGTGGCTTGAGCATCTCGAGCTGGTTGAGGATGTCCTTCTGCACGCGGGGGTTGGCGGTGGCAGTGAGGGCCATCATGGGCACGGAGCCGAACTTCCTGCGCAGCATGTTCAGCCGCTTGTAGTCTTGGCGGAAGTCATGGCCCCACTGGTTGGAAACACAGTTTGAGTGCAACTGGGTAAAATGCTGCAGCTCGAGTCTTCTGGCATCCCTGAAAGCAAGGGGAGCTGTACCTGGCTGACGCAGTGGGCCTCGTCAATGACAAAACGCGCCAGGAGCTTCCTGTCGTAGAGGTTCTCCAGGGTGGACATCAGGCGGTTGCTGGCACACACCTGGGACACATCACCGGGGAAAGCAAAATACCCGGGCTAGAAGTGTCAGCTGGACTGGCTGAGAGTACAGAAACAAGTGTCCTACGCTGCAGAACCACCCTGCACCGCGCAGCTGAGTCCTCCAGGCGCAGAGCTGACCCCAGCCAGCTGCGCTCCAGCCAAGCAGCTGCTCTGGGATTCCCACCAGCTTCTGGGATCACCTACCCCAAGGCCCCTCATTCTGAGGAAATTTCAGTAAATTTAAATTACTTATGACAGGAAGCACAGAAAAATAATTTTCTGACGAGAGAAGCACAATCAGCACACTAACCAGCCCCCTCCTACAAAGCTCTTGTGCAATAACATATTTTTAAGGCAGCATATAATGCAGCCCAAGGCAAGCTCTGACAATCTGCTATCACACCAACAATGCTGCATTTTTCCTGTATTACCCTATTCAGAGCAGTGTGGAGTTAGTAGCTACTGCACAGTGATTAACACTTATGTTTATCAAGATAGATTGAAACAGCTGGGCATGGGAGCTTGTTTTAGAAATTTACATTTTACAGACATACTCAGTTCTTATTTTTGGCTAATTACTGATTGAAATTAGCTAAATCCATATAGATTCTTAATGTGTTATCTGAAACCTAGCATTTTTTCCCCAGAAGCCTACTCTGAGTGCAGTTTTTTGGCACTTCACAGCAATCCCCTCCTCATAGCCCCTGTGGTTTTACAACTGAAGATGAAGTACAGACCTTCTCAGGGGTGACATACAGCAGCTTTATGACAGGATCTTTCTTTGACAGCTGCATGTAGATTTTTGAGGCATCAGCATCTGTTCTGTCACCAGTCAGGTATGTTGCAGCAATCTATATTAAAAAATGATAAATTGAGTTTTATTACATGCCAAACAGAAGAACCTCCAAATGTAGCTCAATCTCCCATTACAAACCAGTTCCTAAGCAGTCAGCCTTGGGAACACACGTTTGGAACACACATCTGAGCACCCTGGGCTAGGGGAAGATGTCCCCGCCTGTGGTGAGGGGTGAAACAAGGTGACCACAGTATCTCTTCCAACCCAAACCATTCTGGCATCCTGTGATCTCCTGCACCTGCATTTCTGCTCTGTGTATCATCTTTCCAAAGATGTTTGGCACCTCCAGAACCCCCCCTAACTCAGGAACTCCCAGGGCTCATTCCCACTGCAGAGTCAGGCTGCTCCTGTGTGGGTGAGTGATCACAATTCTCAGGATCTCAGAACCAGAAGCTGCTCTGAAAAACACAGCTCCAACACCCAACACCAGGAGCAGCAATAAATCCAGCAGTCACACTGCCAAGATATTTGAGTTCATTCAATTTAGCTCTTCCCAGGCAACTTCCTGTGCCGTTCACAGTGTCCATCTAATCTATTTATGCAGTTTATATTCGGGAGACACCAGATTTGCTGTAAAATTTCAGATTTCTAATCCAGTTACCTGCAGCTTCACTTAATAAAGCTGCTGGAACTTACATCTAAAGTCTTCAGCTTCTGAACCTGATCGATGATCAGCGACCTGAGTGGAGAAATGACGATGGTGACCCCGGCAGAGACACAGGCTGGTAACTGGTAGCACAGGCTCTTCCCACCTCCTGTGAGGGTGAGACACAACACAGCAAGTGCTGGGTAGCAAGAGGAAAGGGATGGAGACCTACTCCTTATTTCCCATTTTACAGCACTTTTGGAAACAATACGTTTCTACCAAGGCCTGCCACCAAATGACACCTGTAGGATAAGAAAGTTACTGTGTGAATTATTAAGGAAGGCAGAAATTCAATCCCCTCACTCAAAATCCTGAAAATCCTGCAGTCACAGAACTCCAGCAGCTCAAAGGCACAGGGGAAGAGAAAAGCTTGTACCAAAGCTTGCAAAAGGAGCTGTAGCTCTGTACCCTGTACCTGTGGGCATGAGGATGAAACAATCCTCCCCCAGTAGAGCAGCATTGATGGCCTCCAGCTGGTTTGTCCGGAAACAGTGCAATCCAAACTTCCTGTGGAATATATTCATCATTTCTGCAGAATGGGGAAATTTCATACCCCTGAAACGCTCCAGTGCAGGGTTATGAACCACTGGATCTGGAAGACAAAAAAATGTAATTAGAATAAGTTATGACATCAAGTTACAGAAGGAATTGTTCCCTGTGAGGGTGTGAGGCCCTGGCACAGGGTGCCCAGAGCAGCTGTGGCTGCCCCTGGATCCCTGGCAGTGCCCAAGGCCAGGCTGGACAGGGCTTGGAGCAGCCTGGGACACTGGGAGGTGTCCCTGCCATGGCAGGGGTGGCACTGGATGGGATTTAAGGTCTCTTCTACCCCAAACCATTCTGTGACTCTGGTTTTCACCTCCCCTTTTGCCAGCCTGTCCCTACATTAACCTGAAATTACACTGACCAAGTCTGGGCCCCAGGGGGACTGAGTTTGCTTCCACAAACCCATTTGGAATATTTTGCAGCAAAAACCATTGTACAGCTTTGAATCAAAAGCTGCAGAATCATTATTTAACTAAAACACAGAAACAGCCTCATTTCCAATTTTAGCAGCTTCATCTTCCAGCAGCCAGGAAGGGAATATTCAAGTCTGGCATTATTTAGAGGGGAAAAAATCCCCAAGATGACTTTGCAAAAAATGAACCAAAATAAACTTCCACAGAAACAAAAGATATGGATGTGATCTGTAGTAATTACTTGGTCTGAGATTCAGAAAGAAATAAGTAAGAATTTAAAAATGGAAAGTCTCAATAATGCTCAGGAGCATAGTTCACCTGGATGGCTCTTTGTTGCCATCGGGAGGCCTGGCTTTGGAGCAGCAGGACTGGAGCCCCCAGCTGAGCCCGTGGCTCTGGACATAATCTTGGCCAGGAGGGACTGGGCAGGCGGCGCCCTCGGGACGGGCGGGCAGGGCGGCGTGGCCGGCGCCTCGGCGGCCGCAGCGGGCAGCGCGCTCTCCCAGTCCTCATCCAAGTCATCGATGTCAAAGGCGTCCAGCTCCAAGTCGGGATGGTCAGCAGCCAGGCTGCTGCCTGCAGGGCTGGCAGTGGCAGCGGTGCTCGGGGCCCGCAGGGCTGTGCTGCACAGGGGCTGGATCCCATTCCTCGCTCCTGGAGTTCGGTCCCAGCTGCTGTCGCAGGACCGGGGGCTGAGCCGCAGGGAAGCTCCCTGCCTGCCCCCTCCCTTGGGACACGGCAGCTCTGCCGCCCCTGGGCAGGGCATCTCCTCAGCACGCTGCTTGGATGCACCAGGGCTGCCCAAGGTTCGGTTTGTGCTGGCAGAAAAGCTGCTGGAATGAACGGAAAGCACCGATGGGAGGTTTGTGGATTTGGGGGAGTTTCTGTCAGAACCGAAGCTCCAGCTTGGGCCAGAACCTGGACCTGCACCAGGACACACACGAGGGCTCTGCTCCACGGGAGACTTCCAGCTTCTAGGAAAAGTGGTGTTCGTGCCATTTTGGTTCAAACTGACACTAGGAAAAGTGGTGTTCATGCCATTTTGGTTCAAACTGACAGAATTAGCCAGCAGTTTTCTCCTGGGAGAGATAAGGGAAAGAAGAACAAAAAAAAAATATATTTAGTTACAAGCAATGATTTACCATGTTCTACAACATTCATTAAACAGTTTTGTCTCGCTGCTATTAAACATCTTAACATATGGTGGTTCCATCGTGTTCTGAGTCACCATGTTTGAAAATAATTCCAAACAAATCTTGGGAAGAGAGACTACCACCAGAAGAAACTAATGACAAAACTGTGACATCATCTCTGCAGACACAATATAAAATAATTCCTAAAAGCAAGGAACAGATCCAGAATATAAAAAAGAAATCCTTAGAGGCAAAACCTGAAGTTACAAGTATGCCTGAACCAAATCATGTTTTTAGGTACTTTCTAAAGACTATGTCTGATTACAACAATAAGAAATAAATTGTTGTACTGAGCACATTTACAGAAGCTCACGGTCCCAGTCCAGGAGGAATCTAACCAAAATCCCAAATCCCAATACTTTGTCCATGCATTGTGCCATCAGATGATGCAGCAGACAGAGCAGCAGGCTGTGGCAGCAATAATTCCATCGGGAGATGACAAGTTCAGGGATATTAGGAGAAATCACCACCCCTGCAGTCAGTGAGAACGCCCGTGGCAGGAGACCTGAGGAGACACCTGGCAGGTCACATCATCTGCACATCTGCATCATCACACCCCAGCTGCAGCTGTGGTGCCAGGCACCTCCTCAGGATCCTGTGGCACTGGATCCTCCCTCTGGCACTGGCAGTATTTCGTTCTGCTCAGTTCCGAGCTGCCTACAGCCCCTCCTGCCTCGCTCTGCAGTGAGCGGGGGACACCTGCAGGCAGCTCCCGCTGCACTCGGAGCTGCTCCAGCCTACCTGAGCTCCCTGTGCTGCAGCAGGGCTCGGGCACAGCGCAGGGCCTGCAGCTCCTGCAGGGGGATGGCATCCACCAGCTCACAGATGGCCTCCATGACTCGGTACAGCCCCGGGGCCACAGGCACGGCCTCACCTGCACGGGGAGGGAGTGAAGCACGGTCATTTGCATCACAACACGAGTCAAGAGGATGCCACTTTCCCAGAGGACAGTGCATTGCAGTAAATCAGTCTAGACAATTTACTTCCAATATATTTTTAGTCCATGTGCATAAAGAAACCGTGTCTGTGTGCAGGAACTCAATGAATCTACATATTTTTGCCCTTCTCTTTTATTATCTGTCTACAGTCCAACCATGTCAACTCTCCATCTACAGATGTTCATTCTCCATCTGTTAGTTAATGTTCTTGGATTATACAGGATAATAAATAGCTGCAAACTATCCCCCCAAAATTTGAGATATGAAATTCCAAACCATTTTGTGTACCTGCATCCCCTGCACTGGGATCACCTCCAGGATGTACTGTGGAAACTTTCTCCTGCCTGGCCTCGGAGCTGCCAGCTGTGCACCTTCCACCAGTGGGAGAGTCTCTGAAAACACTGTTAACACCAAAAGAAAAAGCCTTGAAAATACAGATCTCTGTAAACTGAGGCACTTCCGTAGAACAGTGGGATTCAAGATGTGGAAAAGATAAATTCCTGAAGGCCCAGGCAGAACCCAGGAGCTGAGCAGTCACTCATCCTGTGCACCAACGTGCAGAATTTTCTCCCATCCCACTACCAAAGTCACTCTGCTTTTTTCTGGAGTGAAAGCCACCCAGAACATGGGCCACAAACCCAGTATTTGACAGAGCATTAATTGCAGCTGCCAGCCAGCAGCCTGCCCAGCAGCACAGAGACACAAGGCCGGTGTGTGCCTCTCTATTACCTCTGATTACCTGGCACTCTGTACAGAGGGGGAGAAGGCAGGCAGCTCCTCCTCAGGGGAGGGAGGGATGATATCCAGGTCATCCTCCTCGAGCTCATCGCCTGCCCACGGCCAGGTGGCCTCGTCCGGTTTTGGGGAGCTGCTCCCGGCCCTCTGTGGCTCCTGCTGACCCCCTTCAGCACCCGCAGCTGCAAGAGAAGCACATTGATATTGCTGGGCAACACTGCACACAAACAGAAGGGAAAGATTAGCAGCCAGACTTCAAAACACTCCTTTGATACAGCTGCTGACTTTTAAAGGATAGAACTTGCTGCTCTCTTTTCCCCCCATTAAAACAGACAGACAAATCCCCACAAACCCTAGTTTAAGTGAAAAAGTGATACAGCTAAACCTACAGTCACCTGTCCCTGGCAGAAGTGAAAACCTGAAGAGGTCTATTTTTCTGCAATAGTTTTCTATAAAACCTGTTTCTATAAAAAGCTCCTATTATGTTAAATCCTAGCCTTAAAAGAGTGCAGAGTCATCAGCTGGCACAATCCATGTACTGAAAGTGGAAGGCAAATGAACATGTATTGTGTCTTAAAGGACCAATCCTACAAAGAGTGGTCAATATCATTAACTTATTAAGATTAATTTCACAGACAAAGGAAAAGACAGCAAGACATTAAGAGCAGATTTCACCATTCAGTGTAAGGGCAGCATCCCAGAACACTCTTTGATGTTTTTCAGTTGCATAAACATGTTAACTTCCCAAATAAAGGTCCAAGGTTTCAAAACACAGCCAGTAAGGAATCTAAAATAAAGCAGTTCTGTGGGACAGAGCTGCGAAAGCAATGACAGGCAGGAATTTTGTGATCATAATTGAGGGCTGGAGTTCTTTTGCGGTGTGTATGTTTGTGTTAAAAATGGAGAGCCATCACTTTATCTGGTTTAATACTTCATTAAATGTGAGATGCCTTTATGTCTCTCCTGCATGAATTTTCTAAGTACTTTTCTCTCCATAGCATCCCTATAGATTATTGACCATTTCAGGAATGCCATAAGTCTGGTAACCGTAGGACATGAGCAGCTGCTACTCCTGCACGGACAGAACGCTGCCGCACTCCCGGGCTGCAGCACCCAGAACGGAACCGGGGCTGCCTGCCAGTGCCGAGCACGCAGCGCCCCTGGCTCCTGACCGGCACAGCCGAGCCGCTGGGTGCACACACAGCAGTTCTGCAGCTCGGAACCTGGCACAGCTGCACACAGCCTCCTGCAGCTCAGAACCTGGCACAGCCGCTGGGTGCACACAGCAGTTCTGCAGCTCAGAACCTGGCACAGTTGCACACAGTCATCCTGCAGCTCAGAACCTCGCACGGCGCTTACCTGGGCGAGCCCCGCCGCTGTCCGCATCCCGGGCCGGCTCGGGAGGAGCCTCGTCCGCCGCAGCCGAGGGAGCCGAGGGAGCCGAGGGAGCCGAGTCCTCCAGGCAGATGACGGAGCTCTGCGAGCAGGGTCCCGGCTCGGCCTCCGCCGCTGCCCCGCCGGTTCCCCCGGGCCCGGGCGAGCCGCGCGGGGCCGGGCCGGGGCTCGGCAGCGGGGGCTCCCTGCGGCGGGCCGGCGGCCCCCCGGGCGGCCCGGAGAGCCGCCTTTCGAGCCCCGACAGGTCGAAGTCGTCGATGTCGTCCCACTCATCGCCGATGGTGATAACGGGGCCGGGGCCGGGGCTGGGGCCGGGCTTCGCGGCGGGAGCGGCGCTGGCCGGCCTGGCCCCGGGGGCCGGAGCGCAGCCCCGCGGCGGCGCCTTGGCGGAGTCCGGCGGAGCCGCGGCGGGCAGCGCCAGCGAGGTGTTCACGTCCTTGTCCCTCAGCACCGCCAGGCCCCGCGGCGCCTTCTTGAAGGTGAAGCCCCTGCAAGGAGACGAGCCCCCGTGAGTCCCCGGCCGCGGCGGGCGCCCCGGTACCCACGGTGACCGCCCCGGTACCCACGGTGGCCGCCCCGGTACCCACGGCGGGCGCCCCGGTACCCACGGCGGGCGCCCCGGCACTCACGGCGGGCGGTCCCGCGGCGGGCCCGGGGCGCGCAGGGCCCCGCGGGCCGAGTGCCGCCGCAGCTGCTCGCGGAGGTTGTTCTGTGGCACGGCCGCCATGGCGGGCCGCCCGCCGCCAGGGGGCGCGCCGCGGGCCCGCCGCGCTTCGCGCTCGGCGCCAAAACCGCGCCCGGCCGCCATTGGCCGCCACGGACCGGCGGAAGTGACGCGCAGGGGCGCGCGGCGCGGCGGAACCGACGGAAAATGGCGGCGCCGCCCTCAGGCCGCGCCTCGGCCCCGCTCCGCTCCCGGCGCCCAGGTTACGGCAGCTTTACTTCCAGTGACGGGTTTCCCTGTGAAATAACGCGGACGGGCCCCTGCTCGCACGCGGCTTCATTTCAGCAGCGCCTGGTCAGAACCGGCACCGAGCGTCCGGCGTCTCCGCTGGTGCGTTAAAGAAAAATCACGCGTTTCTTCTCAATGTGATTTAAAACACCCTGGTTTTTAATAAAAATATAGCAGGCATCTCATGAAAATTGGTAAAAGTGTACAAATCACAGCACTCATCCTTCCTTTAAACAACGGGGAAATTACCTTCAGAGGAAATTATAAAATCGCTGAAATTTACACTCGGTGATTGCAAAACCAAAAGCCACCCGAGGGGCACGGGGAGCTCCGTGCGGATCGGATGCCGTGGGGTGTCCCGGCTGGGGCAGGGCACGGAGGCACACCTGGCACACCTGGCACACCTGGCGGGACACGGCAGGGGCACAGGAGCACCCGGGTTCGGTCACAGAGGGCAGGTACAGGGTGTGCTGCTGCAGCAGGGCTGTGCGAGCCGAGCCGAGCCGAGCCGAGCCGAGCCGAGCCGAGCCGAGCCGAGCCGAGCCGCCTGCAGGGGACAGCTCCGGCAGGGGACAGCTCCGGCAGGTGACAGCTCCGGCAGGGGACAGCGTGGCAGCTCCCTCTGTCCCCTCCTGCCGGCACTCAGCCCCTCAGTCGCTCCAGCCCCGTCCCCCTGCGCTGTGCTACACCTGGGGAACGGGGTAGGAGGCACAGGCGGCCAGCCCACACATGTTCTTGCCTCGTTCAATAAGGAAATACCTGAAAGGGAGAGAAATGGCTGTGAGCGAGCGTTCCCCCCTGTGGCTGAGGGTGTGAGGCCCTGGCACAGGTGCCCAAGCAGCTGTGGCTGCCCCTGGATCCCTGAGTGTCCCAGGCCAGGCTGGACGGCGCTGGGAGCACCTGGAACAGTGGAAGGTGTCCCTGCCGTGCCAGGGTGGCAAGGATGGGCTGTGAGGTCCCTTCCCCCTCCAGGCAATGCCATCCCCTGCCCCTCACACCCCGAACGAACCAGAATTTGCATTTGCTCCCCAGAGTCCTGCATGCAGCTGGGAACACTTGTGGAGCTGGGATCTCTTGGCACAAGCCGTGCTCCCTGGCTCTGTGACCAGCGGGGAGGAGCTGGGGGAACCAGCAGCTCGGGAGAGGCTGGATGTGCCCTGGGCACCTCGGGAGCCGTGTCCCTGCCCAGCCTGGCACCACCCCGTGTCTCCCAGCTGCCAGGTTCAGCTGAGAGCTGAGGGTGGCCTGGCGCTCAGGGTGGTGCAGCCCAGCCCCGGGTCTGCCCCAGGCGCAGGCAGAGCGAGGTGGGCAGCAGGACCCCTTACCCCTGCATGCCCCACAGGCGGCCCCAGGAGTTCTTGACGATCCAGTAGGGAGTGCCATCCTCCTGTCCGTAGCCCACGGCCAGCACGGCGTGGTTCACCTTGTCAGGGCTGTGCTCGCAGCGGGGGCTGCAGGGGAGACAACACGGCTGTGCTGACACAAGCAGCCTGCAGCTGGCTGGGACTGTCCTGGCCACACTCTGCAGGCAGAACTGGGGCATGCTCTGAACCCCCAGCTCTGGAGAGCAGCGAGGGAAGGCACGGAAAGGACACACAGCTGTGTTTTTCCACTCTGAAATCACCAGTCAGATCCACAGCTAGGGGATCCACTGACTTTTGGGCTCCTGGCCCACCCAGACAAGCGACAGCGCAAAGGAATTTTCCCAGTTGGAACCAGCAGGTCTAAGTGCCTCCCAGTGCTGGTTTGTACTGCCCTGAAATTCAAGGGCACTGCTTCATGTTTTGCACAGGAACAGCGAGCTCTTGGGTCTAAGTATGTGTTTCCTCTAAATGTTCAACCTTTAAACGGCACTTGCTGAAAGCTGCTGCCTGTGGTGTGAAGACAGCTCATGGTACATGCTCCCACTTCAAGAGCATCTATTTTTAAACATTTTCAAGCTGCATTACAGGAAAAGATCAATAATCCACCTCAGATTTTCTTTTTTTCGATCTGTTAACAGCTGCTCTGGGCTGAAAGCACCGGAGCATCAATTATTCCATGTACTCTGACTTCAAATCCACCTTAGACTGTAAATCCACAGGATAACTGCCCCTGGCGTGTTCCTTTGACCACGTCCCTGCCCTCACAGCTCACGCCTGCCCAGGGCTGGCACGGACCTCTGGCATCACTGGCTATTGGCCCAGCAAAGCCTCTGGAATCACCAGCTGCTCCTTCCCGAGAGCTCCCTGGGGCAGATCCCTCAGCTCAGCCTCTCCCCTGCAGCTCTGTGTGTCTGAGGGTTCATTACTCCCAAGTATTTCTCTATTTCTGCTTTCCCCCTCGCAGGGTACCACTGTCTGTGCTGCCTCGCTCAGCTCTCAGCTGTGATCAGGCTTCCAAGGGCTTTCTGCCCCGGCCATGGGGCTGGCCCCACGCTCCAGACTGGCTTCGTGTCCCAAGCTGGCTTTTCTCTGTTTTCCCCCAGCTGTGCAGGGAGCAGAGCGTGAGGAGAGGCGCTGCAGCAGCTGCCCTGTGGAGAGCAGCAAAGCTGAAAAGCACAACCTGCCCCGGTGCCAGCGCAGGGGCAGGGCAGGGCAAGGGCAGCCACGCCTCTCCCCACCGCCCCTCTGAGCTCTGGCACCGTGGAAAATCCTCCTTGCTTGGGGCTTACCCTAACCCTGATGTGTTCTAGAGCTGCCACTGTCCCAGCCCAGACAGACCAGCCCTGGGACAGCCCCAGTCCGTGGTGAGCTGCAGAGTCTCCCACGCTGCCTGGCTCACTGACCTTCATTCCACCCCAACCTGGTCTCCAGGCTGGACAGGTTCCTAGCCTGCAGCCCTCCTCCCTGTGCTGCCCTCTCATCCCCTCAGGAACCACTAAATCAAGGCTCTGTTTAGTTTTTTTTTTTCTATTTTCTACTCAAAAGAAGTGTGAGAATGCACTGCAGCGTTCCTGCATCCAGCAGGAGAAACAGGGACGCGTGTGACTCCATCCCTGCAGGTTCCCCTTGCCCTCACCTCACCAAATGAGGGTCACACACTCACTTGGAATACACTCCTTTCCTGTAGTGCATGAAGTCACTGGTCACCTCAAAGGCAAAGCTCACTGGGTTGTGCCTCCCCACAGCTTCCACCATGCCATCCTCATCATACTGCAAGAGAGGATCCAGGGTCACCATCCTCATCATCTCCTGGCTTGTGCTGGGACCAGGCCAGGCCCGGACACGGGGGATGGATAACCCTGGGGTGCTGCAGGACACAGAACCAGTGCTGAGCTGTAAGAACTGGGGCTCTGTCCCAGCCTGGAGGGGCACCCACTGTGGGAAGCAGGCAGGAACCCAGGGCCTGTGTTTTGGCTGCAGCACCTGCTTCCAAAAGGTGTGCAGGAGAGCAGGAGTGTGCCCAGCAGCTCATTCTCTCCAGGAGAGCAGGAGTGTGCCCAGCAGCTCTCTCTCTCTCAGGAGAGCAGGAGTGTGCCCAGCAGCTCTCTCTCTCAGGAGAGCAGGAGTGTGCCCAGCAGCTCTCTCTCTCAGGAGAGGAGTGTGCCCAGCAGCTCTCTCTCTCAGGAGAGCAGGAGTGTGCCCAGCAGCTCATTCTCTCTCAGGAGAGCAGGAGTGTGCCCAGCAGCTCTCTCTCTCCAGGAGAGCAGGAGTGTGCCCAGCAGCTCTCTCTCTCAGGAGAGCAGGAGTGTGCCCAGCAGCTCTCTCTCTCAGGAGAGGAGTGTGCCCAGCAGCTCTCTCTCAGGAGAGCAGGAGTGTGCCCAGCAGCTCATTCTCTCCAGGAGAGGAGTGTGCCCAGCAGCTCTCTCTCTCAGGAGATCAGGAGTGTGCCCAGCAGCTCATTCCCTCCAGGAGAGCAGGAGTGTGCCCAGCAGCTCTCTCTCTCAGGAGAGCAGGAGTGTGCCCAGCAGCTCTCTCTCTCAGGAGAGGAGTGTGCCCAGCAGCTCCCTCTCCCCAGGAGCACAAGGCTGCACTCCAGCTGCCGAGCCCAGCACACCTGGGCCATGCCAGAGCTCCCCTTGGCACAGCCCTGGCAGTTTGGAAGCGCAGCCCCGGGGCCTCACCTGTGTGATATTGATCACGTCCTTGACAAAGGCAATGGCCTTGTCCGGCTGGAACCTGCAGGTGCCGTTCTGTGGGGACAGAGAGGAGCTGTGGCAGCCTGTGCCAGGCGCTGCTGTGCCACCGGGCCGGGCCGTGCTGCAGTACCTTGGCCCGGTACGGGTAGCTGTCCTCCCCCATGAGCCCTCTGTTGTACAGGATGTACTCGAAGGCTTGGCTCGGCAGGCCCCTGCGAGAGAACAGCTCCATTAGCATGTCAGCAGTTCAACAGGATGGTCATGATGGATTTGGGAGGTAACTGCAGCTTCTGCAGAGCAAAGCCATCAACATTCCCTGCTCTGCACACCACTCCCACAGCCAGGGAGACAGGGAAGGGCAGTGTCTGTGCCAGAGCCTGCAGAGCACAAGCTGCAGTCTGTGCCTGCAGCATCTCCCTGCCTGGGCATGGTCACACCTCATTCTCCAGGTGCAGATCCCTGGAGAACACCAGGAGCCCTGATGCTGTGAGGCCAGCTGGCCCACAGAGCACCAGCCTTGCATGCTGGAAGGTGTTTCTGGTGCCCTCTGCCCAGCCTGGCCAGGGCACAATGACAAACCCACATCTCCAGCAAGCAGCTGTTCCTTCCCTGGCCACCTTCCAGAAGCACATCTCAGGAGGGCAGAAAAGAGAGATATCAGGGAGTGCTGATGTGGAAACGCCTAAGGAGGAGTCACAAGAAAAATAAAAAGCACCAAGAGTGGCTTTGCTCAGCTCCGAGCGTCCCTCTAGGACAGCTGATCTCACAGAAAACAGAAGTTGTCAAAAAGCTCTATTCTCTGCCCTCTCTAGCAAAGCCAGGAGGAACTTCCCCAAGGGGAAGCTAAACTTTCTGTGGGTTCTTCAGGGTGCCACGAGGGGCACATGAGCTGGGGCAGAACAACAGCCAGAAATCCCCTTGCTGTCCCAGAGCCCAGCCTATGGCTGCTGTGTGAAAAACGTCTCAGATAAAAACTAACAAATGAGGAACAACAGAGGTCGGGAAATGCTGGAGATTTAGTGAAACACCCTGACCTCTAGGGAGGGTGAAATTAAAATAAGCAACCAAATCCAAAGTTGCTTCCCCTGTCACATTGCAGCCAAAGGAAGACAAAAGCCATTCCATAATGTGGAAGGATCCTGAAACTACATCTGGATGTCCACCACAGGATGCAAGATACTCTAATTTCTGTTCTTTCTGGCCCTCTCTGACTTACCCACTGCAGCCGTGGTTGTTGAAGGCCTGGGCGCAATCAACCAACTGCTGCTCTGCCTGCAGAGAAGGGTTTTGAGTCAGTGATTGTCCCACACCTGTGCTCAGAGTCAGTGACACAAAAAGCAACTGCACAGCAGGAACTGAGAGTTGGTTGATCATTGCAGCTGGCTGTGACAATCACCACAGCACTGGTTTACCCGAGGGAGTCACCTGGAAGGGGCTCCATGTCCCAGGGAGGCAGACAAGGAAAACCTGCAGCCAGCAGCCTGGGATGCCCTGGCTGCCAGAGGCATTCCTCCTGACGCCTGCCAGAATCCATCCCCCACACAAGGACTGGCTGAGATGTCTTCCAAAGGTCAGGTTTGTTTTTAACACACCCAACCCTCAGTCATTCTGCTAAGTTGCGTAAGCGACTACTGTCTTTCTAGTTCTTCAGGAATAGAAATCCTCCGGGAGCTGAAAACTCCAGATGTCCCAATGTGCTGCCTGCAGCGAGGCTGGCTGCAAGGCCAGGCACGGCTTCTTTCCCCACGCCTGCTCCCAGCAGCCTGCAGCCCCTCTGGCTCCATCCTGCTCCCCAGAGGGCTCTGCCCAAGCCAGGAACACCTCTCACCAGAGAGAGCAGCTTTCCCGTGGCAATGGCAATGGCAGACTCCAGGCAGCCCGTGGTGGAAAAGGTCCAGCAGCTCCCGCAGGCACCCTGCACGAGGAACGGGAGAGGAACTGCTGCAGGTGCTGCAGCTCACCAGCCTCCCCAAACCGCTGGGGCAGGGGGGCACGGCAGCACTGCAGAGCCTCCACTGCCCGCCGGCAGCTGGGCTTGGCCTTCTGCTCAGCCCCTGCGGGGCACACGGGAGGCACGGCACGGCACGGCACGGCTCTGGGGAGCTCCCCTGGCACGGACACCCAGCACTGCTCCCGCAGCCAGGCCCCCCTCTGGCCGTGCCACACGCTCCTCACCTGGTTCTTCACGGGTGTCACGAAATTCCCCTTCTTCCTCCAGTCGATGGAGTCGGGGTACGGCCCAGAGCTGCGCAGGAAGTTCCCCTTGGTGGCTGAGCAGTTCTGCAAGCAGGGCAGGAGGGCTGTGGGAGCCGCAGGGGCGCACCGGTACCCCCCTCCCTGCCCACCCGCGCCCCAGCGCTCACCTGTGGCTCACTCCACAGGTACAGCTTCTTGAACTCGGCGAAGGTCAGGTCCGAGAACTGGTTCAGGCCCACTGGAGGAGAAAGGAGCTTGGCTCAGGAGGCGCCCAGAGCCGCGCGGGCCGCGGGCGGGCGCGCTCGGGGCTCCTACTCTGGAAGCTGTGGTTGCCCGCGTTGTGCTCCTCGATGCGCCGCTTGTTGCCCAGGAAGGTGCGCAGCCTGCGCGGGTACTCCTCGGGGCCGTACCGCCGCTTGTTCTGCGGGGACACTGCTCGTCAGCACGGCCCGGCCCGGCCCGGCCCGGCCCCGCTGCCCCGAGCCTCACCTGCAGCATCCAGGCCTTGAACAGCCGCTCCTCTGCCGAGAGAACGGGCGCGTCAGCGGCGGCACCGCGGGACCGGGCCGGGCCCGGCCCGAACCGAGCCGAGCCGTGCCAAGTCCCCTCCTGCCCTCCCGGTGCCCCCGTACCTTCGGCCGAGGGCTCCCAGGCGGCGGCGGCGGCGGCCAGGAGCGCGGCCGCGCTCAGCAGCACGGGCCAGCCCATGGCCGGGCCGGGCCGGGCCGAGCCGGGACGGACGGAGCGGAGCCGAGCCGAGCCGAGCCGGGACGGACGGAGCGGAGCCGAGCCGGGCCGAGCCGAGCCGAGCGCGGCCGAGCGGACCGGAACGGGCCGAGCCGCTGCAAGGGGCGGGACAAGGGGCGGGACAAGGGGCGGGTGGGCGGGGCAGCCGATGGGCGTGGCACTGGGCGTGGTACTGGGCGTGGCACTGGGCGTGGCACTGGGCGTGGCACCGCCATTGGGCGGGGCACCGGGCGCGGCCCGGCCGGTCCGGCCTCATCCCGCCCGCAAAACCATCACAAACCCCGGTTCACCCTGAGATAGAATAGATTTATTAGCAAGAGGTAATCAGGAAACATATATTTTTACAAAAAAAATGGAAATATTTTTTTTTCTTCCCAAACAAGCTGTAAGTTGAAATAGTTTTAGGGCTTGAAAGAGAATTCCCATACCACGAGGTATTGCTTACAGCAAGTGTTGTGTGAGTGGAGCATGCCTGCCACTGCCGGGGAACCGTGTCAGGGACTGTACAATGTAAAAAACCCAGGTACTATTCACAGAATAAGCACTACATTACTATATCCTGCTAGCGGGTGGTTAGCCAGGATTACAGTAGATGTAATAAAAACACTCGTCATCTCTAACTCTACGTCATGGTACTCAGAGTGGGCACAAGGGTACGGATCTACAGCATATCAACAGGAGCCGGATGCAGCGAGGAGAGGCGAGGGGATGCTTCCATCTTCCCGACTTCGGAGGGACCGGGGCGGCAGCCAGGGCCCCCGTGCCCGGCCAGCACGAGGGGGGCACACACAGAGAGGGCAGCTCACACCGAGGCACAACCTTCCATGTGCTCCCTTCTCCCACCCTACAGAGCTGGGATGTGACCGCCAGCACTGGCCAGTGAGAGCTGCTCTGTGCTGCCCCATGGGGACACAGGACTCACCTGCCCCACGGGGACACAGGGACTCACGTGCCCCATGGGGACACGGGGCTCACCTGCCCCACGGGGACACAGGGACCCTGTGGGGACACAGGACTCACCTGCCCCACAGGGACACAGGGACCCCGTGGGGACACGGGGCTCACCTGCCCCACAGGGACACAGGGACTCACCTGCCCCCAGGGACACAGGACTCACCTGCCCCACGGGGACACAGGGACTCACCTACCCCGTGGGGACACAGGGAACCTGTGGGGACACAGGACTCACCTGCCCCACAGGGACACAGGGCTCACCTGCCCCACAGGGACATGGGGCTCACCTGCCCCACAGGGACACAGGGGCTCACCTGCCCCACAGGGACACAGGGACCCCGCAGGGACACAGGGCTCACCTGCCCCACGGGAACATGGGGCTCACCTGCCCGACCACCAGCCCCCCAGGAAGGACAAATGACAAAAGTAACATCATGGAAAAGAACCCGGGACTCCAGCGAAGTTGAACCGTGCCGGGCGGGGCGGGGCGGGGGCCGGAGAAGCAGACTGGGGTGGCTCCAGGGCGCCCTGGAGCGTGCCTATGTACAGGGGCAGCGAGTGTCCGGCGGCCGCGCCGCTCACGAAGGCAGCTTGGGCTCTATTCGCAGAGAAGCTTCGTACAGGGACTCCTCGTCCATCACGCACGACTGGTCCAGCAGGTACTGCGTCACCTGGGGACAGAGCGGGCCGTGAGCGGCAGGAGGGACAGAGCCTGACAGCAGCCAGCCCTGCCACACGGCCCTGACACCTTCCAGCTCCCCACACTTTGGGGCCAGCGTGGGCACGGTCAGCTGGCGCTGGCAGTGGGGCGGCAGGGCACGCTCTGCTCCCTGGGGAGGGGTGCTGCCCCTAAATCGCTGGTTTTAGCGTGTTCAGGGTGCACCCTCGGAGCACTCCAATCCATCAATGCTGCTCTGTGCAGCAAATCCTCTGCTGCAGCTGCCTGGGGGCCACGGGGGGAGTCTGCTGGAGCCCCACAGCCTCCCTCCATCCCTGAGCCCTGCCAACAGACTCCAGCATGGAGCTCAGATGCTGTGGAGGAAGAGGGAGGTGAGGGGCAGAGCCTGCCCGTGGCTCTGGGGACAAGGCTGTACCTTCGGCTGGTGCTCGATCTTGTAGGAGGTTTGCTGGAACTGGCGGATCTCCCTTATGATGTGTGAGATCTGTGCAGGGATAAAACACAGGAGGCTCAGCCATCACCCAGAGAACCCGTCCTGGTGCCCAGGAGGACAGGGGCAGCCAGCACAGCACAATGCAAAGGCCTTTTTGTCTCTTGCAGGCACTGGGAACAGCCCCAGGGGTGTGCACGGGACACATGTGGCCTCCTGGTGCTGTGCAGGTGGAGGCTGAGGGGACACAGACCTGGCCACAGCCACATCACCCCAGCCGGGCCCCTGTGCCCACGGCAGTGAGCTGCAGCACTCACCATCCTCATTTTGGAGAAGTTCACCAGGCCATCCTCGGTGTAGTTCGGGGTGCCCTCCTCGATGAATGCCAGGTCAGTCAGGTACATGCCCAGGTAGGGGACACACGGAGGGTCACAACTGGGAGTGAACCAGAAAGAAATGAGGAGTAAAACTGTCTCACTTTGGAGCCTGAGGCAGGGTAGGGCAGAAGGGGACAACTCTGCAGTCAGCAGCGTTGGAAGGATTCTCTCCAATACAGGAAGGCTCTCCCAGGGAAGGCTGCTGCTCTCCTGGCCTCATCCCCACCAGCACAGCAGGACAGGCAGGACCTGTGGCTGTGCCACGGCACGCAGGAGATGAGCTGGAGCTTTGACAGAGGGTCAGGAAGACCTTTAGAAGCTTCCATGGACAACCTGGTCTAGTGGAAGGGGGCCCTGCCCACAGAGAGGTATGGAACAAGGTGAGCTTTAAGGTCCCTTCCATACAAAACCATGCTGGGATTTGATGATTTTATGATAGTGCTGGGGAAAATTGTTTTCTGGTGTCTGGCAGTGATTTTTGCCTTTGCAGTCCCTTTTATTCCTGTCTCCACATGCTGCACAAAGGAGCAGCTGAGCTGGGGATGGCTTTGCCAGCCTCTGTGCTGGCTCCACAGGACACCACTCTGAGCGATCCTGGGGGCAGAGCTCAGGTCCCCCCACCCTGCAGCCCCCGAACAGCCAGGGGAGGAGGAGAAGCACCATTCACTCACTTTTTCAGTGCCTCCCTCAGGTTCTTGAACCTGCCCTCCGATGACACCAGCTTCTGGAGCTTATCAATGAGAGCCTTGGTCTGTAAGAAACCAGAATGCTGCTGGGTGGGGCCCTGGGAGAGCCCCCACGCCCTGCGGGGCACAGAGCCACAGGGGCACTTCCAGCCCGCCCTGCCCAGGGCACCTCACCCCAGCAGCTGCTCCTGCCCTGGCTGTCACACCTGGCTGCTGGTGAGCAGGCTGTGCTCCCCCTGCTCCCCCTCTGCCCTCGCCAGCACCTGTTTCCATTCAGTTTTATCATTTTATAGCAAAAGCGACGCTCCTGGCTGATGGGGGCCCACAGTGGTGCCAGCTCAGCTCCGTCTGGCTGTGCACAGTCAGTGCCAGCTACTCCTGCACCACGTACCTCAAACAGGAACTCATCCTGCTCACCCATGGTGGGTCCGTGGAGCCCAGAGGAGCGGTTAAAGAGAGACTCTGTGTGTGTGCAGCTACAGGGGCTCTGGTGGAGTTTAACTGCACGTCTGGCTCGCAGGGTGGGGCCAGTGTCTTCTCACAGGTAACAAGCGACAGGACAAGGGGAAAGGAGTTGAGCCAGGAGACGTTTAGATTGGATACTGGGAACATTTCTTAATGACTGTCCAGCCCTGGCACAGCTGCCCAGGGCAGTGGTGGAGTCAGGGGAGGGATTATAAGATATGTGGATGTGGCACTTGGGCACACAGGTTAGTGGTGGCCTTGGCCGTGCCGAGGGAACAGTTGGACTTGCACGGTCTCAGAGAGCTTTTCTGACCCAAACAATCCTGTGATTCCATGACTAAACCCAACTGCAAGGCAGGGTGTGCCTGTCCACACACCACCTCCCTCCTGAGAACAACCTGAAACACCTTTCTCCATTTTCTCACTCTTTTTAAGGCGTCTCATCCTGCCCCAACACCACGCACCAAAGCCCTCCTCCCCGGGAGGGACCAGCCCTACCTGCTTGGAGACCTTGAGCCAGGTTTTCTTGAGGCGGAAGATGGCACTGCGGTTGAGGGAGGAGGTGATCTCCAGCACGGCGTTGTAGTTGTGCAGGCAGCGGCAGATGTCGGCCACCGCCACCCACTTCTCGATGGCGCTGACGCGCGCGTTGATCTCCTCGTTCCGGATGATCTCCGACGCGATCAGGTTGCTGACCTGGGGCAGACACGGCCCCCAGCCCAGGCTTTAGAGTGGTTTTGGGCACAGCTCCGTGTGCCCCAGCCTCCCAGCAGGTTTTAGATCTCCCAGTGCTGCAGCAGCCCCACGAGGAGCAGCTGCACCAGGAGATGCTCCACCTGCACTGGCTGCCCGGGCAGGCAGGGCCCGTGGGGCAGGGAGGGTCTGTGGGGCAGGCAGGGCCCGTGGGGCAGGGAGGGTCTGTGGGGCAGGCAGGATCTGTGGGGCAGGCAGGGCCCGTGGGGCAGGCAGGGCCCGTGGGGCAGGGAGGGTCTGTGGGGCAGGGAGGGCCTGTGGGGCAGGCAGGGCCCGTGGGGCAGGGAGGGTCTGTGGGGCAGGGAGGGTCTGTGGGGCAGGCAGGGCCCGTGGGACAGGGAGGGTCCGTGGGGCAGGGAGGGTCCGTGGGGCAGGGAGGGTCTGTGGGGCAGGGAGGGCCCGTGGGACGGGCAGGGTCCATGGGGCACACAGGGTCCGTGGGGCAGGGAGGGCCCATGAGGCAGGGAGGGTCCGTGGGGCAGGCAGGGCCCGTGGGACAGGGAGGGTCTGTGGGGCAGGAGACCCTCCCACACCCAGCCCTGGGGAAGGGGCTGAGCTGCCCCGCTGTGCCCGACCCCCTGTGCCCTGCAGCTGCACCTACATCATTGAAGTGCTTTGTGTTCTTCATGATGTATGGAGTCCTCTCGTTCTTCTCCAGCTTCATCCAGCCT